GATAAACCGCGGATGCACTGGACTGTTGGGCAGGTTGTCCAGCTTCAATGTCAGTGCTTGTTCTTTTGGCTGGGCCTGGCTCCCGCACAGGCTGAGCGTCTTGCTCTTCCGGTGGCGGTAGTGCATCCTGGTCATCGCACAGTTGGTTTGGTTTCAAGCTACCTTCTCGGATGGCATCGGCACGTTTGCGACAGGGAAATTCGATTCTCTCAGGAACAGAAACCTTTAACACCCTCAATACTGTGACGGACTGGTCAAAATCTGCATCATTGATTTGCTTCAGAGATGCTACTGCGAATTCCTTTCTCCAATGGAAGCCTGGATGGATGACATATCCTAGGAAGATACCGGGTTCAGAGGTCGGTTCGAACTTCATCTGTTTCTTGGGTTTCTTCCGAGGTCCAGTCCAATAGTCCACCTTACATCCAAGCGGGATAAGTGGTCCTTCGAAGTCTGTCCCAAATCTCAATTTCCATGGTGTGTCCTTTCCAGTCCCATCTGGTGCTGTGTCATGCATGATGCACCAATGTCTGGCGGCATAGGGCCAGTATCCATGGTGAAGTCCTGCTTGAAGCAAATTTGCACGTGTTCCTTCCAATGTTGACCGCACGGCTCGTTCAGCGATGGCATTGGATGTTGAAATGTAATCTTTACTGATTTGATGCCTGATTTTCATTGCTCTCATAGCTGCTACAATCTCAGGGGCATTATCACTGTAAAAGATTGCAATTCTCTCCAAGTCATCAACGAAATGTTTCATCGCCAGTGTGGTGTTGGATGTATCACGACGTGCAACAGGGTAAACATATCGAAAATCGGTGGCAACATCCTTGAATACCATTGCGACCCTGTCTCCGTCTATACCAGTTTCGGGGTCTGATTTGGCAATGAGGTAGTCACCTGTGATGTGGTCCCCAAACTTCTTTGCGTCAACCATGGATGATCCTCCCTTAGAGTATCCGGGTGGCTTGTACATCTTGGCCTTCGTACAGACATCACAGTAGGGATTCTTAGGAATATGGGTAAGCATGTGTCGTTTGCTCTTAGCTTCAGCCTTGAGCGCGGCCTTACCCCTTTCCCTACGTCTTTCCATTTCCGGATCACGACGGACGTCATCCCTTGATTCGTCAACCTCATCAGGCTGGACCTCCCGGTCAGCTGGTGCAATGCCTTCTTCATCAGAGGGCGCATCGGCACCGGGATCGCCTGAGATGTCGGGTACAAGGTCGTCATCAAGCTTTGATGAATTACCACCTACAACAGCGGGTTCGTCATCTTCATATTCTTCGTCGTAAAGATCGGGTGACGGGGGAGAATCTTCCTCTTCTATGAAGCCTGATTCGGACCCAGAGGAACTAGCCATCACTTTCACTCTTTTCATGGGAGAACCATTGTTGCTGGATTTTGCCACTGTGGACACACTCGGTTGATTTGATTTGGAACATAGATATGGGACATAGTCTCTGACTTCAAGTTCTATGACTTTCCCATCAGGTGATACTAATTTCGGCTTCTCATTCTTGGAGCCCCTCCACACGAAGTCAAATCCATCCTCAACGCACCTGAGACCAACTGACAAAACAGGAGGTGAACTTTGCACTAGGTACGGTGACACTGTGGCATTCAGTTCTGGGACTCTTACCTTGCCCTGCTTCATAGATGAACTTTCCCCATTTGCAGTGATGAGACGGATTGGATTATCGGAAAAGTAACCATAGTGGTCGGGCACATGATGATCAGTGAGTAAATCTTGTGCACTACCGGTATCAACAATCCAATCAATAGAGGCTTCAAAACATCCATCAACGTATTCTTCAGATTTGGCAGGCATCGCAACAATTCCCTTTGGGATACAGTGATCACAACCAAACATGGTGTCACATTCGTAGTTGCATTTGCAGACATTGTTCCTTAACGAATTCTTGACTGCTCCTGCCAACATGTTCGCTGACAAACATGCGTCCTCTACGTCTCTTCGGTCGAATTCAAACGGATAGTCGATTGGGAATGTTCTTTTATATCTTCTTGAAGCTGGATTGACAGGCACAAGGTCCCCCTTGGCAACGACTTGATACACATCATGATTGGTGTTGAAAGTCACTGCTGGGCAACCGATCACGTCAATGGGCGGTAACAGGCATGCATTGGACACGGATGCTAACATCGAGGCAATCAGGCAGACAGCTGCTGGGGAAGCTTTGGGAGTTTCAGGCTTGCCCTTATTCCCCTTTGGGGAGCGGCTATTCCTGGGACTCCTTGATCCCTTCTGCTTTGGCGAGCGGTCCCTGCCTTTTCCTGGACTCCTGCTGTTCCTTCGTCTGGATCCTTTCGAGTCATTGGATGAAGGCCTGGCAGGAGTGGCAGCACGAGGAGACTTAGATTGTTTGCCCTCGTGACTAAACCTACAGTCATTGCCTCTGTTACATCTTCCTTGTTTCCAAAATTTGCATGGCTGCTTCTTCTTGTTTTTATCATTCTTACCCCTTGACGGTGATCTGCCACGATCGGATGAGGGTCTTGATTGACTTCTATCTTTCTTTGGTGGAGGCTTTTCATGCTTGAATGTGCAGGCATCATTCGTGCAAGTACCTTTGTTCCATTTGACACAGTACCCCTTTGGAATGTACCCAGTCTTCTCACCCACAGCCGGAGCTGCGCTGGACGACGAGGCACCGAGGGTCCTGGCAACTCGTTCACGATTGGACTCAAGTCGCTCCCTGTCCAAGTAGCGGCGAACTGCTGTCACTAGGAAATCATAGGACTTCTTGTCGGTCCCTTCCTCAGCACGATGATATTCCTGCAAGTCGTGTGCTATTGCCTTACTGGTTTTGACTTGGTTAAAGAACAGAGTCTCCAGAATGCTAATCTCAGGAATCTTGGGGATACCAGCCATTACTTGATCCCAATTGCTGATGAAACCGCGCAGGTTGTCACCCTTGAGTTTGACACTGAACAAGTCCTGTAGTGAGTAGGTCGCTCCATGTTTGATGTTGGTACTGAAATGTTCATGCATCATAAACAGCACCTGTCGACCTCTCACGTAACGATGCTTTGTTGCTTCAGTCTCCTTATAGGTGTCAACCTTTCTCGCAAAATCACCCGTGAGAATATTGGTGAGTGCGGAAAGCAGTTTGGCATCCAATGTAGTGAACTTGCCTACGTCACGAAGAGTTCCAATGGTTTGGCCTTCCTTCCAGGTTTCGCTTATCCAATCAAATGCTTTGTCAGGGTCAGTTGAAGCCGACATTACAGCTTCCCTAGTACGGATTCTCCAGTTTCTGTACGACTCCGCATGGGGAAAGGCTGGCACTTTCACAGTATCGGCTTCTTTGACCTTGTTCTTTTCATGTGATTGGTCCCTGGAGCTACCAAACATGGCTCTCATGCGACGGATGAAACGGTGGTCACTATCATCAGAGTTGTATCCATCCCCGTCTCCATCATCGTCATCTCCGTCCCCAGGCCCACCTCCCGGTGGGCGTCGGCTCCCTAAGGGGGCTTCTTCCCACGCTTGTCCTTGCCACGCCTGCTGTCACGATCCGCCTCTGAGTCCTTGTCATCATCTGGAGGGTCAGGTCCTGGTGGTTTCGCCCCCCGTGTCCGATTGTGCAACACTTGTTGGTGGATACGTTGGGGATCTAAGACCTGTAATCTCTGTGAAAGGATCATTATTGTCCACTGGTACATTTTCGTCCGTGTCAAGCATCTCCCATATGTCTTGGTTGGGATCTGCTGGTTTGGGGGCACTTGCTGACGCAAATGACGGCAACGGTGCGGAATACTTGACCTCAGTGGATGGCGGTATGACGGCAGTGGCAGTCTGGACAACTGGAATTGGCATTGGGCCTATCGTGTCAAGGAGTTTACTCATCCTCATGTTCATGGATTCGGTTTGCAACTGTTGGGCCTTTATTTGCTCACTCTGTTGCTTGATGATGGATTCGAGTTGGGACATCTGCATTCTACGGTGTTCATCTTGGCGTTCATAGCGTTCTTTGATGGATTGAATGTGCTGGTCCTTCGTTGCATTTGACTGTCTGGCATTTCCGTCTAAAACCCTTTTATACATTTCCCCTTGTTGGGCCAGTTCTTCACGAAATTGATTCTCCCGACTCTCTGCGAGCAACATCATCTGTTGCATCCGGGCACTCGCAGCTTGTTCTTCTGCATGGAACCTGCCACTCATTTCGGACACCATCGATTGCATCATGCTTTCTGTGTTGGCCATGGCCTCTCGATGGCGTGCCTCAGCAACCTGCTCAACCATCTGTGTAAATGCAGGGTCATGTGAATTCACGTACACTTCACTATTTTGAACTTGCTGAAGGTTCATGGTGTTATCTACTTCAGTCATCTCATGGTGGTGAACCTCAAGCTTGTTCGACTGTACATGATGTGAGCCGGCAGGCATGCCCTCCCGGGATGCGTGATAGTCATAACCACGGTGCGAAAACCTTGATGCTCCACTCTGGGGCATAACAGCGCCTGGTGGGAGCGGGGCTCTGACTTCACGTTTGTCACTCCGAGAGCGTTCCGAAGGAGTCTGGGAAGTAGTGTGACTCGTTATATCGATTTCAGTCTGGCGATCGTCTGCATCCCGAATTGCCATGGCTTGCGGATTCCCGGAATTACGCGGGCCCTCCGGAGATGGTTTTCCAGAGGGGGCAGACATACCTACAAAAGGGATGTATCTGGCGATACGGCTGATAACCTATACTTAGAGGTTAAACAGCCTCAAACAGCCAGTAAGCAAACGCACTTGTTTTGTTCTTGAGCCATAAAGTCCATAGAATGTACAATTACTACAGGGCACACTTTACAGGGGAGTAAGAAGAGTATTAATTACTATCCCGTAAAAATAAAAAATATGGAATATAGCCCACTTCTGAATGAATTAGCTATCTGTAAACATGGGAATTGTCATATTGTGTCCATATTTTGTATCTGTACCAGGGAGTACCCTCCATGGTTTTGGAACACTCCCTAACATCGGCTCCCACCTTGGCCGCATCTCAGCTGGCAGTGTAAGTGTGCCCACCTCAGCAGAGAGTTCTGCAGCAAAATTCGAAGAGAAGCATCTGGGGAAAAAGAATACCTCATAAGTTGGAAAGTTTTGATGTTTTGGATTCCCTCATATTCACTTACTTAATATCAACATTATTAACTCATGTTAAGTTGGAAGGTTTAGGATTCTCAAAGGAATCCCACTCCCACCATCACATCGGTGGAACTCCGTGAGCCTCAACTCCAGCAGTGTGGGGATTTGATGTTTTTTGGGAAACCTCAGGGGCTTGACGCGAGCAGAATCCAGGAAAAAAAAGGACTGACATGTCAGTTTTCTGAAGCGTTAACCACTGAAACATCAAATCAATCAAATCAATCATCATTTCTGGTATCCGCATTCTTGATGGTAATCATACTTGATGCTGATGCCTCAGGGTTTTCAGGGTTTCCCCAACATTACTGGAGATCGTCGAGGTCATCGAAGGCCTGGCACGGAATTGAAGATGTAGAATTTAACCAACCATCTAATTGGGATTCAACATCGACATCCAGCTCGGATCTAAGGCCTTGTGCGACGTGGGAGCTCTTCTCCACCTTAGTTGCAAAGCACTTCTTGCTGGTTAAATCCTTACTCTTATGGGATGGTTCCGGGGGGGTTCATGATTGTCGACCCATCCCCAATTTAGGTTTTATCTCAAAATCCAACATCCGCCAATGTATGGCCAAGTTTTCATGCGGAAAATGATGTTCTAAGCGCCTAAGCTTCACACCCATCCCCATCGCCCCCATGACCCCCAGGGCTCTTGCGAAGGACCGGCTTCGTCATGTAAGGAGATCGCAGCCGGGATCGCGCCTGTGGGCCAGGCCAGCGGATCGTGCTGACATTTGACTGTAGATGAACGGATGCTACTTTTTGGTTCACCCCAAGAATCGTAAGTGGGCTATAACCCCTGTTATAAGATGTCAAAAATTGGTAGGGTAAGTAGGGCCATGTCCAGCTAGAACTGGGGTTGTGACTCGTTATGACCTACTTCCCAACTGGGGTCACACACCCATAAATAGATCCAAATAGCACCCCATCTATGTTATTGCTGTCGCTCACGGAACCTCCGCCGTCATAGATGGACGCCTGCTGCGTGCTGGGGACCTGGCTCGAAAGTGTCGCAGGTCACCATGTGATGATTTTTGGCTTTGGGATCCACGGTAAATCTGGCCTCTATCCACACATATCTAGAGCAATCCCCAAGAAATAGAAACGTGATCCGGGTTTCCACACCGTCTATCGTTTTGGGGATGACCACATCTCCACACCATTCCTCTGGAACTCTCAGTGATACGATGCCTCTTGATGCCAGCAAGGCTGCGCGTGAGCCTGCCGAAAAAGGGGTATCATATATGGTATCATTTCTTTTTGCCAGGTCTTGGAGAAGCTGACCCGCAACGAAGTTGCCAAGAACTGGTTTCCATTGGTTTCCAGTGGCTAAACCCATGGATTTCCATGGGTTTCCATTGCCAAATTCGTTCTTCTTGTTTCAGTCTTGCGGTGCTCTTTCTTCCTTCCTTGCGTTCAGCCTGAGATGCGCTGCGTGTGGTTCCTCCGGCTCACTGTCCTTTCATCAAAGCTTGATCTGCAGAAAATCAGCGAAACTGATATATAATATATATTATTACCTGAGAGGAGGGGACGAAAGCCAGGGACTAGTTGCAACGGAGACAGGAGAGTGGAGAGCATGGCAGGGATTGCGGTTGGGGGTTGGTTGAGGCATCGTTTGGGAGGCTGAGGAACATGGTGAGGGTGCGCCCTTGGGGTGTCTTTGGAGAGAAGGAAAGAATGTGTAGGAAGAAGGGGCGGGGGAAAGAAATGTTGTAATGGTAGGGAAAGGGTGAAGAGCGTGTTTGAGGAAGTGGAATGGCGGGTTCTTTTAAAGCCAGGAGGAGGTGTCGGCGGCAAGGGAGGGAAGGAGGAGTTGCTCAAGTTGAGGGTGATTCCAATCGCCATCCAATCGCGATCCAATCACGCTCCAACCGCCCCAACAGTACCACTCCTACTCGCATAGTTGCCTCAAATTGTCCACTTTTTCCCCAAATCCTCTGCTCTGACTTCATTCCGAACGAGCAACCTCACCTTGCCTGGCCTGCAGCAACCATTCCAACCACATGCAGGCCCGGCCACGCACCTCCCTCCTCCCACCCTCAGGGATCAGCAGCCATCTGCAACCTTCACCCTGCGGGCTCCTTTGCTTCCCAGCAGCCACCTAAAAGAGCCTCACCCCAAAAGGCCCGCCCAAGCCACGCTCTTTCTTCCCTTCAACCTTCTCGCCCCATCACACACCTCGCCCTGGAACTCCAATCTTTATCCTTCCATTCCCTCAGTCTTTCCACTGTTCCCGAGAGCGTCTGAGCGAAGGGTTCTTCTAATAGTGGGCGTCTGTCAAACATTCTCACATCTTCACATCTTCTCATCCTCACATCCTCACATCTTCACATCTTCTCATCCTCACACCCTCACATCTTCACATCTTCTCATCTTCACATCTTCTCATCTTCACATCTGCTCATCTTCACATCTTCTCACATCTTCTCATCCTCACATATTCACATCGTCTCATCTTCACATCTTCTCATCTTCACATCTGCTCATCTTCACATCTTCTCATCTTCACATCCTCACATCCTTACATTTTCACATCTTCTCAGCCTCACATCCTCACATCCTCACATCTTCAAATCCTCACATCTTCACATCTTCTCATCTTCACATCTGCTCATCTTCACATCTTCTCATCTTCACATCCTCACATCTTCACATCTTCTCACCTTTACATACTCACACCTTCATATCTTCTCATCCCCACATCCTCACATCTTCGCATCTTCTCATCCTCACATCCTCACATCTTCACATCCTCACATCTTCACATCTTCTCATCTTCATATCTTCACATTCTCTCTTGCCCTCTTGCTCTCTTGCCCTCTTGCTCGCTCCTTCTTTTCTATTTCTCTCTTGAAGGCGCGGGGCAGTGCCAACGAGATGGCACGAAACGCAACCCTTTCGCACGAAATGAGGTTCGATCGCCAAAAACTGAAGTAAAATTGCGATTAGCAAGTTGTCCGGCGAACCCTTTCGCACGAAATGAGGTTCGATCGCCAAAAACTGAAGTAAAATTGCGATTTCGTGTTTCCGGCGAACCTTTTCGCACGAAATGAGGTTCGATCGGCAAAATAAGCTTCGGTGGTAACCCCAACAGCCGCGACGTTTTATTTTTACAAATCTTTCTGAAGCGTGCTGCGAAGCCGAAACAATCTGCTCCCCCTGCTGAACCTATTGAACCTGACCCGGCCCCGCACCAAAGGTTCCCAAAACCTCCTTTTCCGCAACCTTCTCCGGAACCCGTTGAACCTGACTTGGCTTTGCACATCTTTGCAGCATTTGCACCAAAGCCTCCCAAACCTTCACCGGAACCTTCACCGGAACCTTCACCGGAACCCTCTTGAACCTGACCTGGATCTGCACCGAACCTTCTCCGGAAACTTCTGTTGAACCTGACCTGGCTCTGCACCAAAGCCTCCCAGACCTTCACCGGAACCTTCTCCGGAACCCTGTTGAACCTGACCTGGCTCTGCATTCGGAACCCTGTTGAACCTGACCTGGCTCTGCACCAAAGCCTCCCATGCCCTTCTCCGGAACCTTCGGAACCTTCTCCGGAACATCATTGAACCTGACCCGGCGCCTGCACCAGTCCACACCGGAGCTATTCTGGGCTGAAGACCCCGTTAGCTTACGCTGTTGGGGAAAAACTGAAGTTAAATTGCGATTTCCGGGTTCCCGTCGCAACCCTTTCGCACGAAATGAGGTTCGATCGCCAAAAACTGAGGTAAAATTGCGATTTCGTGTTTCCGGCGAACCTTTTCGCACGAAATGAGGTTCGATCGGCAAAATAAGCTTCGGTGGTAACCCCAACAGCCGCGACGTTTTATTTTTACAAATCTTTCTGAAGCGTGCTGCGAAGCCGAAACAATCTGCTCCCCCTGCTGAACCTATTGAACCTGACCCGGCCCCGCACCAAAGGTTCCCAAAACCTCCTTTTCCGCAACCTTCTCCGGAACCCGTTGAACCTGACTTGGCTTTGCACATCTTTGCAGCATTTGCACCAAAGCCTCCCAAACCTTCACCGGAACCTTCACCGGAACCTTCACCGGAACCCTCTTGAACCTGACCTGGATCTGCACCGAACCTTCTCCGGAAACTTCTGTTGAACCTGACCTGGCTCTGCACCAAAGCCTCCCAGACCTTCACCGGAACCTTCTCCGGAACCCTGTTGAACCTGACCTGGCTCTGCATTCGGAACCCTGTTGAACCTGACCTGGCTCTGCACCAAAGCCTCCCATGCCCTTCTCCGGAACCTTAACCTTCTCCGGAACATCGTTGAACCTGACCCGGCGCCTGCACCAGTCCACACCGGAGCTATTCTGGGCTGAAGACCCCGTTAGCTTACGCTGTTGGGGAAAAACTGAAGTTAAATTGCGATTTCCGGGTTCCCGTCGCAACCCTTTCGCACGAAATGAGGTTCGATCGCCAAAAACTGAGGTAAAATTGCGATTTCCGGGTTCCCCAACCCTTTCGCACGAAATGAGGTTCGCTCGCCAAAAACTGAAGTAAAATTGTGATTTCACGGTTCGGTCTCTGTGCGTAAAAGTGTTTGTGTGTAAATGCGTCTGTGTGTAAAAGTGTCTGTGTGTAAAAGTCTCTGCGTGTGGAGGTGTTTGTGTAAAAGCGTCTGTGTGTAAAAGCGTCCGTGTGTAAAAGTGTCTGTGAGCGTCTGTGTGTAAAAGTCTCTGCGTGTGGAGGTGTTTGTGTACAAGCGTCTGTCTGTAAAAGCGTATGTGTGTAAAAGTCTCTGTGTGTAAAAGTGTTTGTGTGTAAACGTGTCTGTGTGTAAAACTCTCTGTGTTCTCTGCGTGTGGAGGTGTTTGTGTACAAGCGTCTGTCTGTAAAAGTGTATGCGTGTAAAAGTCTCTGTGTGTAAAAGTGTTTGTGTGTAAACGTGTCTGTGTGTAAAACTCTCTGTGTGTAAAAGCTTCTGTGTGTAAAAGCGTCTGTGTGTGAAAGCCTCTGTGTGTGAAAGTGTGTGTGTGTGTGAAAGCATCTGGCGTCTGTGCGTAAAAGCGTCTGTGTGTAAAAGTGTCTGTGTGTAAAAGCGTCTGTCTGTAAAAGCGTATGTGTGTAAAAGTGTTTGTGTGTAAAAGTGTTTGTGTGTAAAAGTGTCTGTGTGTAGAACTCGTGTAAAAGCTTCTGTGTGTGAAAGCCTCTGTGTGTCAAAGTGTGTGTGTGTGCGTGTGTGTCTAAAAATGTCTGTATGTAAAAGCCGCTGTGTGTGAAAGCTTCTATGTGTACAAGCGTCTGCATTACAGTATGCAAAAGTAAAGTGTGTGCGTGCAAAAGCATCTGTGCGTAAAAGCGGTTGTGTGTAAAAGCGTCCGTGTGTAAAAACCTATGTGCGTAAAAGTGTCTATGCGTAAAAGCTACCGTGTGTAAAAATGTCTGTGTGTAAAAGCTTCCGTTTGTAAAAGTGTCTCTGTGTAAAAGCTTCTTTGTTTAAAAGGGTCTGTGTGTAAAAGCGTCTGTGTGTAAAAGCTTCTGTGTGTACAAGCTTCTTGGTGTAAAAGCTGCTGTGTGTAAACGCGTCTGTGTGCGTAAATGCATCTGTGTGTAAAAGCGTCTGTGTGTAAAAGCGTCTGTGTGTAAAAGCGTCTGTGTGTAAAACCGTCTTTGTGTAAAAGCGTCTGTGTGTAAAAGTCTCTGTGTACAAAAACGTCTGTCTGTGAAAAGTTCGGTGTGTGAAGAAAGTATACGAAAGATACGATGCAAACTATTGTCTTGTGTTTGTGATATATTGTCTCGTCTGCCTATAATACATCTTTAATATATTGTCTTGTAATATAGTGTTTCCATACTAACAACAGAAGACTCTGCTCCTCTACGCTCGGGCCATCCGTCGTCTAGTTCTTCCATGGTTTTACTCGATTTCTCCATCATTGTACCTCCATTCCAGTCTCCCCAAGTGCACGTCGGAGGACGGACCAGGGGGAATCGAACCCTGGCACATCAGCCTCAAAATCGCTCAAAATCGACCACGGAGGCCACCCCAATTAGGTGGGGAAGTGCCTCAAAATTGTCCATGTTTTCAGCCACCGCCCCCCAGACCTCCTATTCTCACTTCGCTCGCAATGAGCAGCTTCGCCATGCTTGACAGCTGGCTTTCGTAATATCTATATGTGTGTGTGTGTAATGTGTGTGTGTGAGAGAGAGAGAGAGAGAAACGTTTTAACACACTAATCGATGTTATATGATGTTATATTATACTAAATATCTAAATATTATACTAAATATTATATACCTTATTATACGCTCCAGAGGTTTTTTTCTCAACAATTTCAAACACATCCCCACACCCGATCCTGTCCAAATGGAGGGTCACTTGCCCTCGCGTTAACTTTTCTGTTGTACCGTTATACCACTTGAATATTCATTACTTTCCATGAAGTTTCCATGACTCTGGGAATGTTTTCCTAATTCCTGGAGCTACCATCTCCCAAAATTCATCATGTCCTCGGAGTCATCGCTACCTGGCGCCCACTGGAATGCCAAAAAAAGTCCTCAAAAATCTCAAAATCAAGCCAAAGTACTTTGGACCCAGGAATCATTATGAAACCATGCTCTCCTATGCTCTTACATGCTCTTGTAATGTTTCTAAAACCTTAGTTGGTACATGTTTTCCATCCAGCTCATCAGTCTGAACGGTCTCATCAGCCGGTCTCAACAGCCAACTTGGGCTGGAGAGACGCCCAACGCTGGCACCGCAATCGTCAGACCTAGGGCATCCGTACAGAGAAGCCACGAAAAATGGAGAACCCGGATAAGCATGGATAAGCCACCAGAATCCGCCAGAACTTGGGTCATATTCGGTCCATATTTCGTCATTTGAGGGCTTGGTTCCGTGCAGAACAGGACAGCAAAGAGTACACAAGCTCCCGCAGCGCTCCTGAAGCGGCTAACGTTCCCTAGAGATCCTGGAGCAAGCAACTCAAAACATCTATGATAAATATATATAGATATATATTATACACTTCACACCAGAATGAAGATTCCCCAGATCCAAAATGGGTTTCCACAGGCTACGACCTGTTTTTTGCGTTGTCTGGGTGTCAGAGTTAGGCTAATTGGTCCTCAATCCGCATGCTGCAGGATAAGCATTTCAGCAACATGACCCCCGGCCTCTTCCAAACATCCTGGAGTCTGCTTTGGCAGCTGCGCCTGCACCAATCAATTGGCAGTAGCTCAGTAGTTTGTCAGGCAAACGCTCTGTAACGCTCTGCGGGTGAAAGTTGGCTGGCATATGTTTGTTCAAAAAAAACTCAAAAATCCATCAAGATCCAATGGTTTATACGTAGTCTTGTCATCGCTGGAAAGTCCCCAGCCTTTCCTGACAGCCCAGCCTCCAAGTATTCGTGAGCTGCATCCATGCTGCAACGGCCTTAAGGCAGTCACTGACCACCCTTATGAACCCCAAAAAAAGCTGGCAGATCCCTAGCAAATATATCATATATCCACAATTATCCACAGCTGGTGCACTGGATATTGATCCATCCCCATATTCCCCATATGTCCTGATGAAATCCTTGCATTAGCACCGGGTCGCGATCGATCACCCCACTGGGATCTGGTGCTCAGTTTTGAATCAGCGGCACAAAACGCAATGTTAAGAGCAACCAGTCACAGCACTTGGGCCAAGATTTATCATCCAAATGGAAGATATATGAAGATATATGAAGATCAATGATCACACCATGGCGCCTGGTCGTGTGCCAGATCATTCTATTTAAGCCCTTCATCCTGCAGCAACCGAATCTTTTCCTTCGAGCCGGTCTACGGAGTCTACGGGGAACATTGTCGGCCACAGCTCTTTGGATCTGTGGGAGCCACTGCAGGCTGTACCAGCGGGAACGGCGATAGTGCTGGGAAGTCTTAGACTCTTGGAGCTTTTTGAGTCACTGGCATCTCCAGGTCGTCCTACAAAGGTGCATGCAATGGATCCTTGATCAGAGAGAGGGAAGAAAAGCCTTGGGGATCCTTTGCCTATGATCCATCCACCAGATATCAACAGATCATCATGACGTTTCTTGGTGCAATGTCAGCCAGTGGCAGCCTGGAACATTTCAGCATCGTCGGGCTGGTCGTTCCTGCCGTTCCTGGTTTCCTGCGGGTGGAGCATGGTGTGACTCACCAAGTCTCACGAAATGCACATAACGAACTCACGTAAAGACAAGTCATCAAAATTGTGCCTCATGTTCACTCCTTGTTCATACGTATATACAGTGTATATACACTTATAGTCTTATAGCCTATAGACTATCATGAAGCCAGAACCATCCCTCAGCCTGCCGTTTCTTGTAGGTGTCCATTTCCTCATCGTTGAGGAGGCACTCATCCAGCATGGCTCGGATAGGTTCCTCAGGGAGGCAACTGCTTGAAATTAAGCCACATCCAAGTTGAGAAAACCCACCGCTTTGTTGATCACGAACAAGCTTCGATAAGCTTCGCATATGGTTTTCCACTTGTTTGTAACAACCTCCCAATTTTCTTCCAGGTCGCTTCAACCAACTTCTGGCCGATGAAGACAATCTCCTGTCTTCGATCTCCACACTCTTCGTCCCAGTCCTGGCGCTTCTCAGGCTATACTACAGCCCAATCGCAGGGGTGGAACCGTGGAACCGCAGGTGCAGGTTGGGACTACCACTGGCTGTAGGTGGGTGCATTATCCGCTCTTTGGTGTATCCACAGCAATTCTTCGTAAAATGATGTGATGTTAAAAATGTTAAAAAAGTTCGTATTCATCCCCTATGAGGCTCTTACATCCCCAGTCATATGGGTACCAACTGGAGTCAAAATCTCGTTGTACCCAGCGGCGACACGGCCGTCCTCCTTCCGTGCCCGTTCGTATTCATCTCCCACCAAACGCTCCATCACCTTCACCTGCATCCCAGCTGAGCCATCATGGATATGAAAAATGATAATGGTGACAAGTGTCATAATGATAATAGTAAAAATAACAACAACAAGAACAAGAAAGAGAAGACTGGCAATGGCAATAATAACAACAATATAATACTGCAAAATATTCCCATGGCTCCGGGTCACGGCTCATGCTGGGCTCCAGCCTGCTGCGGAGTCATGGCGCCCCACCAGATTCCAGAGTAGGAAAGTTTCATGTCCTTCCCAGCCTCCAGATATCTCCAGGTGGAATGGTCATCCTATAGGTGTCTCTGAAAATGGGGGCGTAACCCCCCAAGTTTTGACCACTTCACGGGGAAAACGATGATAAACCAGAGGATGGAATGGGGTACTTGATTTCCAGACAGCCCCATCATGGCCAGACAAATCTGTCGCCCCCAAAAGTGCCCCTGAAAAACACAGCAGATTGCGGCAAGGCAACGTGGCTCCAGTAGATTCTGGTGGATGGTTCTTGCTCCAACCAGCAGAAGCCCTTCGAGCGGATGACGTTGGCCCTTGGTTGTCATCATGTGTCTGTGATTGTGTGTGTGTGCGCGTGTCACTCATCTATTTTCATGTTGGTAAACCTGGTAAAGCAATGTCATAAACCAATATAAACCAATATAAACCCATATAAACCACATGGATTGATGGTTGAAATATGTTGAAATCCCCACCCGTGCTGCAGTGCAGTGCTTCACTGAGCCACATGGGATGGTCACTGTCCGGCTCTGCATCCAGCATCAGTTGCAGATCCGAATGCTTCGGTACCGGCCACGTCTTGAGAGCCTGTCTTGGTGCTAGGAGTGGAACAACATGGAACAACATGGAACAACCACTATCATGACTATCATGACTATCATGATACTTAAATATGACTATCATGATACTTAAATATACTTCATCAAATTCAGAAAGAAATTTGAAGCCAAAATTCGACCAAGACATATAGACATCATTTTTCAGCGAGCACTGGGAACATAGTGGCTACATATATAATGTTACGAATGGTGATGCGGCAAGTTCCAGCATACCCCATCAATCTAAAGCAGCCTTTCCGAAACTCAAAAAGTCCACTTTAAGTATCCATCATCTACCATAATCAAGAAAATCAAGAAATAAATACCATACAAATAGACCACAAAACAATTATCCCACATTATAGAAATAGTTCACAATGCATCATAATAATTACCACTAAAATTGACCATAAAATACATGGAAAAAAATCCTGATCCCATTATTTTGCTCCTCTTCCTCCCGGTCCCCGTCATCCGTCCCCGTCCTCGGTGAAGCGAGCTTCGCTGAAGGGTCTTCGAGCCCGGTAGGTGAAGGAGGTGATGCCAAACCGCTCCTAGGCGGTTTCCTATGTCATGGGGGATCCCCAATAGCTGGTTGGTTGATTTCATGGAAAATCCCCCTAAAAAAAGGGATGATTGGAGGGCACCCCCATTCTAGGAAACTTCTAGTGTTCCAAATTAACTAAGTTGGTTCAAATGATTCAAATGTGTGACAACATGGAGCTGAACCAAAACTTGAACAAATCCAAACAATTTTCCAAGAGCAAATTTCCAATGGGAACTTTGGCGAGACCAGTTTGGTTGAGATTCGGTAATAATTGGTAATAATTGGGTTACTCCCATGTCTGGTACCCCCAAAATGGGCGGTTTATAATGGAAAATCCCATTAACAATGGATGATTTGGGGGCACCCCCATTTTAGGAACGAAAACCCCCATGTGGAGACTGCAAACATTAAATATCTCCAAACAACGCGGCAGGTGACTTCGGCTGTCGTCTTGCTGCTGTGGCTATGGCTATGGCTGTGGCCTTGGCCACCGCAGATCTGCAAAAGAAACGCAAGAAGGTGCCCTACTGCGCCCTACTGCGCCCTACTTCTCTAAGAATCTTCAACTTTGAAACTTCCACTCTCGCAGCCACTGATGTTCATTCTCATTGGCAGCATTCTCAGCACCAGACCATGGCTGGGATCTGTGCAGTCAGGATCATCGCAATCTTCTGCGTGACCGTGGCTATGGCCATGGCTGGCATCCGTGCAGCTGGGATCACTGCAATCATCTGCATGGCTATGGCCATGGCCGGAATCACTGGCATGGCTGTGACCATGACCATGTTCCTTGCAACAAAATGAGCAGGATATAGCAGGATCATGGAGGACCCAAATGATCCAAAAAGATCCCATTTGAGGGGAATCTAATGGAATCTTGCAATTTGAGGGGGCCATAACAACATGGCCGCAACACTGAAGCGTGTTGCGCCAAAAATCCTAGCGTTCCACATCTAAACAAACTAGACTTAGTTGGCCCGGAATGCAGCAGAAATAAACAAGCATCGTTCCTTGATGCGCCAATTGACTGGTGACTGTGCATTTTAAGTGGTGAAACATGGTGAAACGTTCTTTGATTGAGGTTCCCCCCGGTGGTGTTGCTGATCCCACTTTGAACTTGAATCCCAGGGTAGACGAAAGTGGCAGAACATCAGTAGCCTGGACTCCGGGACAGATGCGCCACGTAGTCAGAATTAAATTGAAGCAATAATTGCAAGTTAAGGTGCTTGAAAATCATTAGAAAACTGCAAGACCAAGAGATCCAAAAGGGAAAAAAACACGAAGGAGCCTTGTGAAAGAAGGCGGCAAATGAAATGAATGAGAAAGCCTGGTATTGAATATGTGTCTTCTCATCGTCTTTCATGTTGATATCGCAGGATATGTACTATGAGAATCTATGAGAGATAAATGGATAGATGGAATATATATATATATACATATGCATATGTATATATATATATGTGTGTGTGTGCGCTTTAAATTGTCTAAAAGATAACTGCCGCACTCTGAACTGCATGTGAGCTGCACCTTCATTCAAAGCGTGGTGAATTCAAAGGACATGGCCGAATGGGAGCTGAGTTGCTTCCTTTGCATGATCATGTCCTCCATGATCATGCCCTTCATGCCCTTCATGTTCTTCATGCTCTGAATGTCTTGCCTGGTGTGGATCTCATGCCCCAACTTCATCCAACCAGTGATCTATGACCCTCAACAGTCATGGGAACCATATGGAACCATCTTTTCTGCTAAGACACCGTTCCGAGGACAGTCTCCAATCCAATCTTGGAGTAGCTGGTCTCCAGAATCGTGGCCTGCAAGTTGGACATGCATCGTGCAATCATGCTGCGGTATGGTCAGGATACTTCAGGATACTATATAGTATTTAGACATAATTGATTCATATTGGTCATTGTAATATTGGCTGGCCTTTAGATATGTCTCCCTTCTGCATCCCTTCGGAATCCAACATTACAGTTTTAAAACATCATATACATCTTGTAACATCGTAAACCCAAAAATAAAACATCCCCAAGTCATCACCAGTTTTATGGGTAGGCTTTCAGCCATCCCCAAATGGTAGGCTTATGGCATTGGGTTTCCCACATTATAGTGATTGGCGCAAACCCATCGCAGAAGAGCCTTCGTATTGATGGCCTTGACGACTGCCCTTGTAGCCTCAATCTGCTCCTGGCTGGGCTGCACTCGGGAGGATCATCCAAAAAGGATCATAATTGGCTGGTAAGTGGAAGCCAATAGGCCAATAAGCCAATAGTTATAAGCCATAAGGAACAGTTATCATGACTGGCTTGTGATAATGATAATAGTTTCATGATAGTTATAGTTATAAGTTAGTTATAAGCCAATAATGATCACCAGGCTTAGCAACCACTGATGATCAGTGGGATGATCCTCCAAGTACAAACCGCAGCAATGGCTCAAGCTCGGGGCATCGACCAACGAATGGCTGGGCTTCCAACTGGGGTTTAATACGGTTTAATAATCTTGCCATACCCATGGGGGATGGAACCCTGATAACATCTGTACTGTCCTTTAAGTGAGGAATTGAATATGTACCCCTTTCTTTGTACTGGGAAATAGTTGAGGTTTTAGGAGCCATTCCCCGTTCGAGCTCAAAGTCAAGCTACCAAAAAATATGGTCCTAGGGCCCCAACATCCGAACAGTCGGCTTGCCAGTCCTTAGTCGCCAGGTCGGTCTTGTTCAGAACCACCACATCTGCCGCCTGCCAGGCTGCCACCATGGCCAAGCTATGTTCACATCATGTTTCAAGGGTAATGGATCAAAAATGATCCATTTACGCTCTAGCAATTAAACATAGCCAATGGAATTCATGGCCCATTGAGATTTTGAGGGAGATTTTCCATAGCTATGTTAAATTACCAAAGGTACACCAAGGTTTGTAGTTTCGGACCTTGAAAGTATTCTTGAATGACTTCCAACTTCCAACATTTTTTCATGGCCTGAACCCCTGAACCCCTGAACCCCCCTCCTCAGTGTTTAAAGCATTGCCTCCGCCTGCTCCACTAACAGCTCCACGACTGAGTAGTCTCCCATCTCTCCCACATCACCATCAATCAGGTCATCGCGATCCATGACGCTTTGGTACTCCATATACTCCTGCAGGAGCCGGAGGTCTTGGAGGAGCCGGAGGGGTCCCTGGGGCGGGCCAAACCTATCTTGTTGGGGCTGTATGGCTATCATCAGTGCTTGGAACCCTTATGATTCTGATGCTGTCAAAGAAATCCCTGAGCCGTAAGATGATGTCTCACCTACATATGAACGAATCCAAGACGAAACCAGAGTTTCTGCGGGATGTTTGATTCAATTGATATCAGATATCATGGGTACGGACTTGTTGCCAAGCGTTCAGCTGCAAGCCCTCCTCACAAAACGTGGAGGCATCAAGCAAGGTGACGGTTTTGCTCAATTCGAAGCCGCTGGTCACGTAGTACCTCAGTACACCCCTTGAATTCTTGGAAGCCGGGGCCGGGGCGTGGATACACTTGCTCGACTTCCCTTGGAAGGTAAATCATAAACGCCAACAAAAAAGAACTGTACATTATTTTTTTATATTTTCTTTTTCATTAAATATCATTGAATACCCCCTACAAAAATTGGAGCAATTCCTTATCAAATCAGCCAAGCTTCCCAGAACCTCTCGCCTGATCAAAGTTCTCTTTTACACGTTGTGGCTCGGCCACTCCACTCCTTGGCCGAGATCGGTGGACGCTGTGGGGTCAGGATGGCTCAGGCTGGCAGCTAGTGTCAGATGAAGCAATTTCGATTCATCGAACACCCCAGGCCCCAGGCATTTGAATAAAGATAACAAAGCATGGCCGATACATAGCATGGCTTAATATGGCACAAAGGAGTCAACGTTCCCACTTCAGATAGATGGCATTCGATGGTCAAATAAACCACCGCCCTTAGCACTGCCCAGCAGCAGTTCCACCACGATTTTGCTGAAGGGCCGGTCCTAGAAGGAGCTGCCACAACATGTTATCCTGCTTGGGGCCTGGCTGGGAAGCCGTCCTGGGTAGCCAACTCCAAGAGGTCGTAGATACTCACCAATAGCCTGGCTGGGAATCGGCTGCCGTCCCTACTGGAAACATGCTGGATGCAGGATGAAGTCAAACTTGTCAGACTTGAAGAACTTTGCCCATAGATTCTAGTCATGTCTGGTAGCAATGAAGAAGTAGTACCTACTAATCATATCTGAACATATAATGTTGGAAACTGTTGGGTGGTTCTATTATGTTCTGTTGTATCTCCATTATCCTTTCTTGCGAGCTTTTGATCCCTCCAAAAGTTCACACCCCTCACACAACGGCTTGAAAAAGCAGAATCAAGCAGCTCATCACCCAGTGAACAGCAGGCGCAGCCATTCCTTAGAGGCAAACAGGGAGGTCAATATGGGTGTGACTAAAAGTGGGTGCATAGAATGGGAAGCATAAATGCAATCCATTGGATTTTGGGGTTGTCCCATAATATTGAGACAAAACCATATTTGGATTTCTTGGATGCATTCTGACATGCTTATATAGTCGGAGCCAAAATCTGCGGGTTGCGTTGAGGTGCTGGAGTTGGATTGCGTTCACCTCGCCCTCGGGGTTGTAAGTCTCTTGCTGTACCTCACGACGAAGTCGGGGTGATGTTTTTTGGGGTGGGTTTGGTCGGCTTCGCCAAGAGAATATGAATGAAGTTGTGATGTTCAAGCCAAAAATATCCAAAAGTTCATACTCTTTATCTTTATATTGAACCATATTGAATTTGAACCCATCATTTTCTCTCGTACATGAAGGCTTGATTCATGTGCTGTTGATATTCAACTTGTCTCAACAGCAGCGGCAAGCATAGCCGGTGATGAACCCCTAGCAGCAACAAAATGCCATCGAGACACCAGCTTCGAATCAATGTTGACTGCGGCCACATCATTTACAACCACACCTGCGTATTTCTTGCGAACGACATACTGCGAAAGCACAGCAGGAAAAACAACCCTCACATACCCTCAAGATTCAAGATTTGTGTGTGGAACTATGTTATGTGCAGTTTTTGACGAACTTGGGTTGACAATTTTTCAGCAGTCCGCGTTGGCAGCGCCTATCCGATCCGTGGAGTTCTCAAGCCAATGTCGGAGCAGTGTCGTCTTCCCAGTGCCAAGAAAACCGCTCAGCAAAATCACTGGCACCTTGGTTTTTCATTTTTTTTCAGCTGATGCCTTTGTCAAAAAAATAGATCCCAATCCGGCATTCAGAATCATACACCAATCAAACCTTCCATTTTGGACATTGCTGCTTCAACATGCTTGAACTCGACATCTACCATCTACCACTTGTAAACCAGCAGAATCTGCAAACAACCACGAGTTTCCCGACGGGTTTGGGTGGCTCCACGTCCACTTTCGTTGACTTTGGGGCCACTTTCTGGCACTTGACTGCTTGCCTGTTCCGTGTCACATGGAAACTGCGGGAAGCATGATTGAATACAATGCAATTGCATCAGTTGCATCAATTGCCATTTCATTTGCTGTTAAATCTTAGTTATCTTTATTGTTCTTTACTAAAAAAATTAAAAGAACAGATCTCCCGACCTTCGCCTTGCACGGGAAGTGCCATGAGCCACAAGAGCCGTAAGGCCCACCGCCAGGCCCCCTGACCGTTGATTCCAAGAGATCTACGTAGTTTGAAAAGTGAACACAAGATAGTATAATCAAGATATAAGATACGTGTGCAATCGTGTGTAATATATTCATACATACATACATACATGCATGCATACATACATGAATGCATACATACGTACATACGTACATACGTACATACGTACATACGTACATACGTACATACGTACATACGTACATACATACATACATACATACATACATACATACATACATACATACATACATACATTACCTACCTACCTACCTACCTACCTACCTACCTACCTACCTACCTACCTACCATTACATACATACATACATGCATTCATACATACATACGTACATACATACTAACATACTATCATACTAACATAACATAACATAACATAACAAAACATTACATTACATTACATTACATTACATACATATCTGTGCATATTCAATACAAATTATGGAAAGAGTCGCACACACACACACACATATGTATATATATATATATATTGACACAAGCCTAGTAGCTGTAACAGCGAGCACAATCTAGAGCACGATTTTTGGCACGAAGGAGACCACCAAAAAGCACGATCTAGAGCACGATTTTTGGCACGAGGGAAAGCACCAAAAAGCACGGTTTGTGGCACGAAGGAGAGCACCAAAAAGCACGATTTTTGGCAGGAAGGAAAGCACCAAAAAGCACGATCTGGAGCACGGTTTTTGGCACGAAGGAGAGCACCAAAAAGAACGATTTTTGGCACGAAGGAGAACACCAAAAAGCACGATCTAGAGCACGGTTTTTGGCACGAGGGAAAGCACCAAACAGCACGATTTTTGGCACAAGGGAGAGCACCAAAAGCACGATTTTGTGCACGATGGAGAGCACCAAAAAGCACGATCTAGAGCACGGTTTTTTGCACGAGGGAAAGCATTGAAAAGCACGACTTTGTGCACAAAGGAAAACACTCAAAACAACGTTCGCCCAAAATATAAATAAAGAAATCAGGTTACAGCTATTAGCATGGACTCAATATATATATATAAATACTAATATTAATATATATATATATTAATATATATATATATTAGTATATATACATTAATATATATATATATATATTAGTATATATACATTAATATATATATATATATTGATTTATTTATTTATATAATTATTTATATTTGTATATGTGTATGTGTGTATTGCTATGTAAAGAATTATTGCATATACAGTGTAACTGTGGCAATCTCTGACTACACAGCGGCTTCCAAGGCTGCCTGGAAGGTCCCGAGCCGAATCTGCTCTCCTGCTTACAACCTTCCGGGGTCGAGAAATGGGGCTGGTGCCCCCAAGCTACGGCAAGAAAAAATTGTGTTTTTTTCTGATGGGGAAAACAATGATGAACCATCATTTTTTTGGGATCAACATGGATGAACCGATGAACCATCAAAATTTGAGAAAATTGTGATGCTGATGAGACAATGATGATTAACCACTTGCTTTTTGGGGGTTCAAAAAAAATGTGTTCCACATTTGCTGCTGGGATTTGTGGGCAGTAGATATGATTCAATAACCCTCTTCTAGTTCTTAACCCAAAATACCCAGAACAGCGTCCGGTCTGATCCAACATGGCCTGCAAAATCCCCCAAAGTTCCATGTTCCCACTTGTTAGGCTCCATCGACGGTGGATTTTCATTCATTTTCTGCCCCAAAAAAAGGCAGGGTACCCAAAATAGCACAGCTGCAGATCCCGCCCCAGCCATCCCAGCCTGCGGGAGACTTTGGCACAGGGGGGCATCACTGAAGGCCTTCACATTGCCAAGGTGGCCAGTCCCTGCAAGGGGCCCACGGGGTCAGAATTTGTGCAGCGTGGAGATGTAGATATCATGCGTGACCTAGTCATAGGATCGCATTGATAGGAAAATCTTGGATGTGACTTCTGTGTCAAATGTATGTGCCTATGTATATGTATAAATAAATAAATAAATAAATATATATATATATATATGCATGTGTACATACATTGTGTATACGCATACATTATATATATGTGTGTGTAGATACTGTGCATGTGCATATATGTACATACATTATTTTCTATATATATATATGTGTGTGTGTCTGTCTGTGTGTAAACACACATATGTAAATATATAAACGGATATCTGTATATATAGCCTCGTCCCCGGTCTTGGAACTGCGCACAACCCGAATTATGCTGGTAAAACTTGTCAATTCCGGGACGAAATTTTGTCCCGGAATTGACAAGTTTCATTAGGGTCATCATCATCATCATCATCAACAACATCATCATCATCACAACATCATCATCATCATCACCATCACATCATCATCATCAGCAGCATTATATCATCATCATCTGCAAGTTCACATGAACGTTAACATCCCACCCCATCCCCCCACCCCATCGTATGTAGTTCCAAGACCGGGGACGAGCCTATATTATACATATATGTGTGTATGTATGTATAATTCTGTACATTCATCGCGGTATCATTTACAAACTGGTTATAGAATCTCGGTCATCTTGGCCATTGGTCACCAATCGATCCACCTCGAAGTGGTAACCTCCACAGAGCCGCCATGGCGTTCTACGGAGCCCAAAGGTGCTGCCAGGGGCATCTACGGTTAAGCCACTTCTAAATGGGATCATCGGATAACAACTGAATGGGGACTTCCACTTAAGTGAGGTGATCCAAGTAGTCCGAGAATGGCTTGAGACTAGCTGAAAACACGGCGAGAATCTTGAGCGGTTCGATTGGAAGATATTCCTGGGCAGGATAAGGGCATCCACATGCCTCAGCTTCTCATAACGGCGGCTCACATAATACATATCATATGGAACATTTTTTCGCTACAAGCATGATAGCGATGTGTTCAGAAGACTTCAAAAATTGGTCAAACGATGTGATGTGACCCTTCCACTTTTTCCCCACACTTTTTGGGAAACGCGGTTCGGCCACAGCCGATCTATGCTGATCCTCAACGCTTTGCGCTGCGAGGATCGGGTGGGACTCGACCAGGCTAAAGCTACTCTAAAACCTCCAGCAGAAAAGCCGTGGAAAATCAGGTCAAAGTTATCTTACATACACTTACTAACATGGGTAACTACATAATATATAGACATATATGATACAATATTAAAATATAGCATAATCCATATACATGGTGGTTGATCAAAAATCCTTTATCCGGGAACGGCCATTCTTCGCGAATAAAAAATTATCTTTCGCGAATAAAAAATTATCTCTCGCGAATCTTTCGCGAACTCCATGTTTATCTGTCGCAGAACCCATGTTGAGCAACAACTCCTCTTAAGATTCATTCAGCACCTGCCAAATCACACCAATTATCACGGATAACTTCGTCATAGCCTTGTAAACATGCAGCTAGCATCACGGAATCCCCTTCTCAGGACAGGTTGTTATTGATTAGGCGATTTTTTGGGCAAGATTTTGCCAGGCTTTCTCGGCCAAATGGGCCGCTCCCTTCAAAATGCACTTTGACTTTCGCCCAGTCCTTCGAACTTTCGCGAATAAAAAATTCTCTTTCGCGAACGCGGAAAAACTTTCGTGAGGGTTTCCAAAAAAACATGCACGGCGTTCGCAATTGAAACACCGCGTGCTTTACAGTAGATCAACCACCATATGTGTAGATGTGTGTGTGTGTGCGTAAGTATGGTGTTGAGGAAAAAGAAAATGGGCTTGTAAGTAGACTAGTTCTTCAGGATACCAGGATTTGGAGAACAGAAATGAGAAACCCAAGAAATGGAGAGACGTGCCATGCATGCAAGCACAGGCTTTCTGCTAGCCGTGCGGGTCCCGCAGGACCTTCACAAACACCTCACTATTCTCGCAGAAATGATGAGCTCACCTTAGAAGCCAAGACACGCAAACCGCAAACAACGGGAACCTATGGTGCAGCTTTAGGACAGTTAGAATTGGAAGGCAACAGAGGGATCAAAAGGCTCTCACAATACATGGGGAGATTCTGAATACTCTCTACGGACCCCACTGTGAGTAGGTTTTCAAGTTAGCCTGTTTACGGGTGCAAGCAAGCTGCTGGATAGCGCAAAGCGCTAGGATGCCGACACCTCACCCGTTGTTGCGGGCTCTGGCACTCCCAGCCGCAATTTGGTTCGTGCCTAAAAATCTTCACCTATTGGGGTCCCAATCATTCCAGAGGAATGGTAAACAGATCTGCCAAAGCATGAATCTCTTGTAATACTACCAATTTTGATTGCAACTACTGAACATGTTCCCAGCCAATCTGTAGTGGCTCGTTGATGGTTGCAACGTTTGACTTAACTTTCAAGCTGTCAGATGGTCAAAGAAACATTGTTTCTACCCATGTTCAACATCTTGAAATCCCCGTGTGGGTGTGTGAAACTTTATTCTGTGCTTCGGCTGGTCCTTCTGGTATCTTTTGGGCGAGTACCTATGGGACCACCAAAATAGTGGGCTGAACATGTGGAGCCGCCAGTTTTTAGACTGTAAAGGTTATCAAGGTTTTGACGGGCCATTTGAACCACCAACCAACCAAATCCATCCAAAGTCAAGATATTCTCTAGTTTGTTGTAGTTTACACATGGCTAAACAAAAACATCCTACAAGTAATCTTTAGCTGGTCAGTCTATTTTTCCCATGTGTGGAATTTGTCCCATGTGTGGAATAAGTAACTCGCAAACCTATGTACCAAACCAAGTTTAATCGTTTCATATATCAGAATATCCGCATGTTGGTTCCATATTGGTTAGATATTTGGGGACAACTCAAAATGGGTCGACTTAGTAATCTACTAACTTCTAGGTGATACCCTTTGATACCCCCCTTTGCTTGGATATGCTTTCACAAGTTCAGAAAATTGCCAAATACCCTCAAAACATATCCCACCGCTGATCCAAAGCAATGAATTCTGGTGGATATACCTTTTACCAGGCGTTTCGGAAAAATTGAACAAATTATCAACCTTTCCCAAAAAGCGTTCATGCCTGTACCCTTTACACCGTCACTATTTCCCATTTCCAAGTACCCACATTTGTGTCAAAACCCCATCTGCACCCTCCCGTAAGCAAAGACGGTTTTCTGGAAAATACCCCATTCAATTCCGTTTGATGATTCTCCCAGCTAAAAAAACATGTGGGGGGGGGTTCCATTTTGGTCCGGTTAACACGCTGAATTTCCCAATTAAATCCTATTAAGTTGATGGTTGAACGTTTGCTGTTCCTTCTCTTTTTGCTGATACCTATGCAATTTCTGAACTCATATATTTTGGTTGATTTACAATTGCCTGAATTTCCGGATGAATTTCGCATCCAATCCCGTCTGGTTGATGGTTAAACCTCCATTTTGGTTCAATGTTTCTCATACTTAAATTTCCCATTATGTCATGGGTTGGACCTCCAATTCCTTTCCTTTCCATTTCTACCCATCTTTCTTGATCATTGATCTTCTTCCCAATTTCATCCTATGTTTTTTTTTTCCGCCTGCAATTCCATCACATCCCACTAATTAAGTCCAGAGATTGAAACGCAACAGTGACTGCTGTTGGGAATATGCACATTGAATGGTTAAAATCCCCTCCATGTCAGATTCCTTTCATACCCACCGTCACCGCGGAACCCTCTGCCACCGCAACCGCATCCGCGGCCGCCACGGCTTCGGCCGTGGCCGCCGCCTCGGCCGCCGTGGCGGCCTCGCCAGCAGCGGCGCCACCAGCGGCCTCGGTTTTAGGATGCGTTTAGATGGTCGGATACATTGAAATTGCGAATTTTGATATGGTTCAATCCAGAGAAAAGCCCGAATTCTCTTGGGGAAATCACAACTTCATGTAGGAAAATCCATTAAATCCCACATTCCTCATAGGAAATTCCCAAATTTTTTTGATGGCTTAAGCATGCTTAAGCCATCAATCCCACTTGCTATCCCAATTCCCCGGGCTTCCTCACCACATCAGCTGCTGCTGCGCCCTCCGCACCTAGGGCCGCATCAGCTGCAGCCGCACTTTCCACGGCAACACCTGCCTCCGCAAAACGGCAGGTGTAACTGGTGTAACTGGGGCCGTCCTTGAACGTTTCGATAACCTCCAAAAGAGAATGTGATATTAATGGGATAGTTGATGATGATGAACGGGATATTGATGGGATATTAATGGGATATTCATGGGATATTTGATGATAATGAATGGGATATATAAGCATAGTGACTATAGTGGAACAATCAATCATGCTATCAATCAATTCCCATTGATATGGTTATGGGTCAAAACCCTCTCCCTTTCTCCCTTTTGTCTGAAGCATCCGCTGAGAGATCGCAGACGGGTGCTCGACGTGTGAGACCTAGCTCCGCGTGAGTGCGAGAACTAGATTAGATAGGAGCCGACAGCCCATGACTTACACACCTCGAAGGGAGCTGAAAGATGTTGCCCTCAGCCGACTTCCGTGTGGCAGGCCACGGCCAAACGTTCTCAGGCAGCCACAGCATGTAACCGGGCAAAGCATGCCATGCACCAAGTTTACACAAGACTTCTAAACACGGCAATCCCAAAACATGGTGGAAACTGAATTGTTTGGGAGCAGGTTTTTGAAACAGCGGCTCCCAATGCATGCAGTAAGCAATCCAGCCGAGCGCTGGCAAGATCAATGCTCACCCAACGTCTTCTTTGCATCGACTCTGTGCCGCTCCGAATTTGGCAGAGCGAGCCGGACCTTTGAAAATAGCCTGGGAAAACACATCTGAGGCGCAACCCGGGGCTCAAGCAGCGTGGTCGGGGTAGATGCCCGTCATCCAGGAAAACTTTTGAGTGGGCTTTGCAAGTTTGTTGTCAACAGGCCCGTGGACAAAGGGTAAAGCTGTTTGCCCAGCACCGACGCTGGAAACTCATAATTCGCCAACAATGTCTTCAGAACAGGGTGCTGCGCTGCAAGGCAACATCGTTGGGTTGGCCTCGAGCGAAGTGAACCAGGAGTGATCTCGCCGAAGTTTGCCCTTTGCTTGGTGGCCACGGTAGTCATCTGTCCACGTAGTGGAAGATGGCTGCATCCCGCCAAAACCCGTGTTCGCATCCAGCAGTGTTGCCGGAATATCCTGTATTGTAAGCCTTTTCAATTCCATCCGCCGGTTTCCTTTGTTGCAAAGGAGCACACATGGAGAGGAAACCCAACAGGGAAGCGGCCGTAGTAATCCCAAAAGTCTCTCAGGGAGAACATCGCTGTAACCCACTCGCCAGCGAGGGCATGCGGCTCTAGAACGAAACAACCATGGTGAACAGACGGTCAAGGATCGGTTGAAACAGCCGCACCCGCTGGAAGGACTTGACCCACACGGCTATGGGTCAAAACCCTGGTATCCGGATGGTGTCATAGCTGGTTAATGGATGGTTACTTCCCTATTCATATGGTATATAGGTTTTGACTCTTGGACCCATCCCCATATAAATCTGGTGGGAATTGCCATAAACCTACCATTTGGGGATGGTTTAGCACCCATTTATGGTGATTTTGGGGATGGTGTCTTATTCTCTTGAACGGTTTACCACATTAATTACTCTATGGAAAAAATGATGATGAAGCATGGGATTTGGGGTATATACTCTATTTTTCGACAGACTTTGGAAAGTGACTTATGATTATTAAAGGATTTGGATGTTAGTGTTAAATTCTATCGTTTTTGCGGGTTGCCATACACGTGTGCCTAATTACCTATTATTGGTATAGAATGTAGGCGGAGAATGATGCAGATACAGAGATTCTGAGATGGAGATGTAGATACATGTAGAGAGATGGAGATAAGCCTGGGCTACCGATAGCACACGAGATGTCGAATAAATACGCATTTCGCAAGATTTGCCTAGATTACTGTGACAAAGCTAGCTCTCTAGCGATTCCACCGAAACTGCATCACATCTCAAGCCATCGCGCACCTCGGCAGTGGCTGCAGCACCAGCTGCACCTCCCGTTTTTCATCCCGGTTAGTGGCTGAACGCGTAAGCCATATACAAGCCACATACACCCGGGGTAAAGTCGCCGTAAAGGCTGCGTGCGTATTGCATCTTACTTCCCACCGGGATGCAGCCCCAAGTACCTAAGTATGGTCCATACCGTCCATACCGTCCATAATCCCTATCCCGTGTATCCACCTTCAACAGTTGCGGCTGCAGCTCCCACACCACCAATTGCGGCCGCTTCGGCCATCAACTCAGATCAGGATGAGACGCCGGGGATGCCTGGTGTAAGGTCTTGATGATCTTGATGAACCCTAAACCCATCCAATTCACATCCAAAAAAACATCCAATTTCTATCCGAACTATCCAATTCAACTGCCAAGTACCATGAAAAAATTACGATCCAACTGCTATCCAACGACCATCCAGTTAGCATCCAATTGCCATCCAATTATTTGTTACATAGCTATGGAAGCCACGGCCCATAGAAACAGATGATTAAAATGATGATTTACCGTGACTACCGTGTTTGAAATGGTGATTTTCCATAGCTACGCTCAGCAGAGTACCATCCAGTTACCATCCAATTCCCCCGTTTTTTTTTGGTGGCTCGAGGTGGCTCGAGCGTCCATGTCTTGACAAAACCCGCCAAGAAGCACCAGTCTCCACGCAGAGGGATGTGGCGAAGGTGCAAAGGCTGGCAAAAGCCTCGGAACTCGCAGCTGGAACAGCTGGAATTACGGAGGGTGGCCTTCAAATATGTGGAAACCATGGGATATACTCTACAGCAATTACCTGGGACAAACCATGAAAGTGAAAGCGTGCAAAAAAAAAGTGAACCTGTCAAAATATCGGGAAGCTGCTGTTTAAAACTTAAAGCTACAACTAAGATAGACGTGGAAAATCTATCATCTTTAGATAATTTCCTCTGGAAAACGATGGCACTATGGATTTCCATAGCTATTGTAGTTTTCTGGAGGGTGCTAAAACAGCCCAGTGGTTAGCAGCTGTTTTTTGTGTTCTTACCTTTCTCCATCTACTGGTAAGCGGGTGAACGCAGCCAACTACAAGCAGGACTTTGACAAACCAAATGCACTGTTCAACTGATCAAGGTGAAATTCTGACACTTTATCCGACAGCCCGAAGGGCTCTCAACCAGAATCCATCGATGCCGACCCATGACCCATCAAAAACAGCCTCAGCCGCTTGGATTCCGTATGATTCCATTGCTGGTTTCAACTCATAGTGAAAGATTCATAAAGCCCTCATTCCGCCGGAAGAACTGGGCAGCACAACAGTCCAGCAGACAAGTAACGGACATGATGCAAGTGCCCAGGGTCACAATGGCTGAGAGGATGCACGCTCGGAAGCCCTTGCAAATCCTCGGGGTTTTTTTGGGGGAAACTGGGAAGCAATGATCAAATTAAGACCCCCGGTGGCAAAATGAGGTAAACATAGATAAACCATGATAAACCCAGAAAGTGGAGACTTCCTAACCCCGCTTGCGATCCTGCCGTCAACGATGGGGCTCTGGCGGCAGCCTGGGTTGAGACCTTGGGTGGTTCCATCCCCCTGAAATCCGTGACCATGAGACACGAGCAGAAACAGCAGCATGCTAACGCCCATCCAGATCCACTCCATGTAGGGCAGTGGCGGACGTTCTCCTGGCTACGTTGGGACTGAGAGGCCCTATTAGCAAAAAAGCCCGTGGGTGGTTGGTGGTTTCAACTAATCCCGAAAATGTTACTCTCTGGTAAACTAACATAGCTATGGACAATTCACCGTGTTGAATTGGTAAATCAACTATAGATGGCCATGTTCAATAGCTATGGGCCACTGCGGGTACAGTAAGTGCGCTGTCCGAAGTGGGCACTGCCCACAACTTGGTACAAATAGCCAATGGGCCAATGGGGATCATTATCATCATCCCAACTAGGGGAAAAATCTAAAAATATCCCAAATACTTTACTTCGAGTTATCCCCACCATGACATCTATACGTTTTGTTACTGGCAAATCTCCTGGTGTTCTATCTGACATATCTTCCGGCATTTTATCTGGCATATCTTCTGGCATTCTATCTGGCATATCTTCTGGCATATCTTCTGGCATTCTACCCGGCATATCTTCTGAAATATGTTCTGGCATATCTTCTGGCACTCTATCTGGCATATCTTCTGGCATATCTTCTGACATTCTATCTGGCATATCTTCTGCATTCTATCTGGCATATCTTCTGGCATATCTTCTGGCACTCTATCTGGCATATCTTCTGGCATTCTATCTGGCATATCTCCTGGCATTCTACATGGCATATTTTCTGGCATATCTTCTGGCACTCTATCTGGCATATCTTCTGGCATATCTTCTGACATTCTTTCTGGCATTCTTTCTGGCAAATCTTCTGGCGTTCTATCTGCCAAACATTCTGGCACTTTATCTGGCATGCCTTCTCGCATTCTATCTGACATTCTATCTGGCATACCTTCTGACATTCTATCTGCCATATCTTCTGACATTCTATCTGGCATATCTTCTGGCATTTTGTCTGGCATATCTTCTGGCATTCTATCTGACCTTCTATCTGGCGTTCTATCAGGCATATCTTCTGGCATTCTATCTGGCCGTTGAGGTCCAGCGGTGCCCACTGAGCTCGGAGGGTCCCAGTTTGAGGTCCAGCGGTGCCCACTCAGCTCCGGAGGGTGACAGGTTGAGGTTGAGCGGTGCCCACTGCGCTCAGACCCTTGCGGTTGAGGTCCAGCCGTGCCCACTCAGATCGGAAGCCGGCAGTTGAGGTCCAGCGGTGCCCACTGCGCGCGGAAGTTGGCGAAGAGATTGGCGACGAGTTGGCAAGGCCAAAGCCGGCAGTTGAGGTCCAGCAGTGCCCACTGCGCGCGGAAGTTGGCGAGGAGTTGGCAAGGCGGAAGTGGACGTGGAAGTTGATGCAGACATGGTCGAGGAGAAACTGGAGGAGGAGGAGGCGGAGGAGGAGGAGAAGGAGGAGGAGGACAACAGCTCTGATAAAATCTAACAACCCTCACCTGGCAGGTTGGGAACAACACCAACAAGCTGATATGAGCTGATAGTATGGATGCCCGTGGCAAAGGCATAAGCCATAAGCCAAGTACTAGATCGGCAAAGGAGTAGCTGCTGACCGCGCTGACCAAGGAATCGTTCAACATTTGAGGCTGCGAAAACCGGCAAAACAGGCACTGTGTCTGGCATCTTTCAGTTTTTGGCGCTGCCTTCCCAGTTCATCACTGATCCACGATCATCCCACAGCGCAATGCCGTCCTTTCTCCAGTTTCCGAACTGCAGAGACGGGCGGAAGCCCCCAGTAATGAACCGTTGCAGCTGCCCACAGCGCCAGGAGGATCAGAAGCATTGCAGCCTGGTGATGTTTTGGCATGGCATCTGCATCATTGGCATCCCATACTGTCAAAATGTTGACAAGTGCAGCCTCAAATCTCAAGTCCTGGCAAAACCAAATAAATATACCATCAATTATATCCCCATGATATCATTATACCATCATTAAATCACCATTAAATCACCCCGTGTTTGCCGCCCAAAACCAAATGACCTTTCGCCATACTGCCCCCAGAGTCCAACGGACTGCAGCCACAGTTGGTTCTTGTATCCGCTTGACTACCTTGCGCCGAGGGCAGGTGCATGGGTCAAACTTGGGTGCCAGGGAATTGGCGTCCCTTATGATCAATACACAACACGACATGCTAAAATGATGTATATAATATATATTATATATATATATATTATATGAGTAGCGGGCGAAATTATGTGTTAAACGTAATGCCATGCACAAATTAGGGTCGTCCCCTATCGGTTGTGAAGGTGTTGTGCGACCTCGAAAAGGCCAAGGCGAAGCAAGACTAAATCAGTATTACAATAATTTTGTCGGTTACTCATACTCATACATATATATATACATATTATATATACATATATATATATACATATATATCACATAGAATCACATAGATATAGATATGGATATGATTGATATGACCACAAATCGCCCACTTCGATCTGCAATCTTGGCGTTCGGTGATAGCATCCTTGGGTTGACAACTATGGCAGCAACATGACAAGTTGCTGGATCAAATTTCTTCCGAAACCAAGCAGACCTGCCACAGCTGGTGGTTGAAGAAATCCCGAAGTTGTGTCCCCCACTTTCCCACTTCGGCCGTTGGATCCCAGTGAAAATGTTGCTTTCACAGATCAATTGGGTGATCCCTTGAGTTGGCTTCCTCATTGCTTCATACATCAGTTTTAGGGAAATCATGATCAAACCAGTGGATGGAATGGGTTGTTCATGTTTTTTTTCCATGGTTTCAATGGGGTTTTGCCCCTTTTCGACCAAGTGATGGACATGACGTAGGTGTAGATCAAGGCCACCAGCAAGGTAAAGGACCAGCTCTTGGGCGATCGGAGCATCGCGGGCAGTTCTTGCTCCCTGCGATCCAGAGCATACCAGGCATACCATGGGTCCAAAATGGTCCAAAATGGGTCCAAGAATCATAGCCATCCAAAGAAATAAATATCCAAAGAAATGGGGATGGGTCAAAACAAGCAAAACTCATGGAATTCCCTTGTGAACATTTGTGACCATCAAAATAGCTGGGACCAGCTGGGATTTATAGATGTTCATCCCTCCAGAAATGCGATTTCGAGGCATTGACCCATAGCCATGTAGGGAAACAAGAGCCACGGAAGAGGAGAGAAAATCTGTGATGAACTGTGACTAACATTGATGAAACATCGTTTTTAGAGATGTCTTCTTTTCAGACAAACCCAATTTGTTCAAAATGTGTCCAATGTTTACTCGACACATACCTGGCATGCAGCCATGTTGAAGTGGTACAATAATGTGCCGTCGATGGAAGCTGGACTTCACTTCACCTTCACGATTGATGCAGTCAAGGCTCACCACAGACGACATAGAAGGCACATGAATACCCACCTTAGCGTTGTCATGTCTCTAGGCCACTAGGCCACCTCACTTCGCTGGTCCGGAAAAGAAATCCACCAATATATCCAGAACAAATTGTTAACTTTCGTAAATGAGGTGTCGGGGTTGTATTTAAGGTCTGTTCTCGGAAATGAGGTGCCTGCAGTGCAAAATGCATGAAATCAAATGTGGGGGGATCTTTGGCTGAAAAAAGAGTTGCGCAACTAATTTCGAGACACGGCCCCGACTTCGTCTTTTTTGCTTTCATTTCTTAACGCTGATCTTTTCAATGTAATTGTCACTTTCAAGTTTTTTGCAAACAGATGCCTTGCTGCTCAAAAAATAGTTTCGATTACAGTAATCTTTAAAAAAGGCCCGCCGCAGGCTTCGCTTTTGAGCGTTTGGATCGTCGTTCAAAAAGCATTGATTCCATCAACCTGAAAGAAATATGAATTGAAAAATGTAGATTATTTCTTGAATGGCTGCTTGCCAGCAGCTGACCATGGTCATGCTCAACACCAACAGCTGCTGCTGCGGAGCAAGTCCAGTGAGCTGTTGTAAGATGTTGTACAGTAAGTATTTGTTTTGGATGATTTCTTTAGGTGCCTGCATTCGTTTCTTTCTGGCTCCTGTTGTCTTCTGCGCATACTTTATTTTGACCTACGCTGCGAAAATCTACTAGTTTGCCATCCAAATTCTTCCCAAAATGAGCCATGTGGATGGCTGCAGTTACGTGATTCAATACAATTTGCTCAAAACCCTGTCAAACTGGATTTCAAACTAAAACAGTTGGTTTGCAAATATCCCAAACCGTATTTCCGTGTGATTCCCTTATTTTCGTGAATTGTGAAAGTTTACAAAACACATGTATATATATACAGAGAGTAAACATATAATATATAACATGGTACAATGTGCAATAATATAACATGCATAATATTATATTGCATTGTATTTACAGTAAACATGTCATATTATATTATATTGTAGTCAATTGTAGTATATTAAATCATATTATATGATATTATATCATATTAATATTAATATCATATGTATACGCAAATGCATATGTATATTATATATTATATTATGTTATATTATATTATATTATACGATGTGATGTGATATTATATTATAAATATACATATACATAAATATCTATATGATATATTAAATATTTATAATTATACATATATACGCATACAATAATTATGTATGATGAATCATTGCAAGTGAAGCATGTCCACACCAGACTAGACTGGTCAGCGACTATCCCCACAAAAGGTGACTGCCAAGGCACATGACAGCGGCCCCCAATGAGAACACCGCTGGTGCCATTGAAGAGCCGACAAACCACCGCCTTTTGGTAGCTGCTGGCCCCATCCCAGCTGGCAGTTGGTCTCAAACATGGCGTTGCGTAGAGGTTGCACCACCTGAAGCACGAAGCTGAAGATCATGAAGACCCGCGATGGTCTTCACACGTGCCCCCACCAAAAATATATAGAAAAAATGATTTGACCAGCACAGGTTATGATCCTACTCCTTGCAACGACCATGGAAACGGAAATCCCCAGAAGTCTCCTGCCGAGTTTGGATACCTTTGAACTTGGGAAGGCGGGCCTTGTGTCATTGTACCAATCCACCGCCTGGCAGCGACTGAACCTCAGTCTGGGGCTATGGCGATGGCAATCCAAAATGGGGTACCAATGGGCCACAAAATCTGCGATCTGGTGTGCTAAATTTCACTAAATCCACAATGTTGTTAGATTCTAATTGTATATATATAGTTTTAATGGGGGAAGCATCCGTTTTGGGGATTAAGCACTTGGCAGCGGACATCTTTTCAACAACCAAGTCACCCGTTGCACAATGCTTCACAAGCATGCAATCCTCCAGTGACATTGGCCTTGTGGCCAACTCTTTTCACCGATGCTGGCCCACTGCCGTCATCATTCTCTTCACAAGCCTAGGCGGAAAATGGCGGAATGCTGTGGATAGCCCGTTGTTCGACGTCGTTGAGGCCCTGGCAGCTTTTGTGCTTATTGGTATCCACAACGGCTGGCTCAACGGTCCTTCCAAAGATTCAAGGGGTGGCAGTGATCACCGATGCATCACCGATGCATCACCGATGCATCACCGATGCATCACCGATGCGTCCCTTGCACTTCCACCACCAAACCACCCTGAAATCTCAAAAAGTCTGCAGATCTGGAAGACCCACAGGTTTTCGGGTATCTCCTGAAAGGAAGATGTAGTTCACAATCACTACCAGCAGTAACCTGAGAACACCGTGAACAAGCTGCCAGGGACCCAGCGGAGTATAGTTATGCTATGTTATACTTGGATATGTTGCTCAACTTATGGGGGTGATGTGAGTCAAGCAATGATAAACCACCCATACTTTGATGGTTTATGCGACCCATTCATATATACCCATTTATAGTAAAATTGGGGATGCTCTACTATTGCTGTACTCACATTGTCACATTTACTGGCAATTACCAGGGTGAAATATCTATGAATATTTGAATCTGAACAGTGTTTTTCGTTCTTGTCTTTGGATGACCAGTCGCATAGAACCCACGCATGCGCCAAGCTACCCCACTAGCATGAGGTATCCTGCGCGGGGTAAGCTCTTCAAGGGTGCCTACGCAACCATACGCGGTGTAGGAGGCGTTGGCCTGCACAGCCATGATTATAAGATACCCTAAGTGTTGCAAACGGGGTGTCTGCAGAAACTCTAGAAGATGCAGGCTGAAACACCCATTTAATTGTTGCTTTCAACAGTCACCCAACCTTTCTTGATTGGTGGATTTTGCACGTCGGGGCCCCAAACAAAAACTACATCATAATCATGACAATCTAATCCCACATATCCCCACGGGCTTTATGTTGTTCGGTCTCTCTATGCACACCCAAAAACGATTGCTTTCAGTAATAATATCAACATATATAAACCAGCTAAACAATATAACACAATTATAAACTATATCAGCATTCCCTTGTTATTTCCCAAAAAAAAGAGAAGTCCAGGTGTTGTCCCCACACGTCGCGGCGCCAAAGGGCATCTTCAAACACCAGGAGCAGGTGAGGCGCGCACAGCAAAGCTGAAAACAGTGAAGGTGATGCCCCTGCCATGGCATCTTGGAGCATTCCACGAATCGGATCTGTGGGCTATAATCCATGTGCATATATATATATATATATATATACATGTATGTATGTATGTATGTATGTATGTATGTATGTATGTATGTATGTATGTATGTATGTATGTATGTATGTATGTATGTATGTATGTATGTATGTATGTATGTATGTATGTATGTATGTATGTATGTATGTATTATGTATGTATGTATGTATGTATGTATGTATGTATGTATGTATGTATGTATGTATGTATGTATGTATGTATGTATGTATGTATGTATGTATGTATGTATGTATGTATGTATGTATGTATGTCTGTGTGTATGTATGTATGTATGTATGTATGTAACCCAAAGAATCCCATATATAACCCATAAAATTCCATCATATGTAAGCGGGGATATTCCATATATTATTAAATATATAGCTGGTATTGATTATAACCCATTTACATCCATTTACCAAGTGGGATGCACCCTCAAGTATGACCCACCAAAAAGATCCAAAATGTACGAAAACTGGAATGTAATCATACAGAACTTGGGACCTAATCTTCCGCAACCCAACGCTGAGGCAGTTTGTAATTCAAGCCCTTAAAGTTTCCATGCCTTGCCACCGGCAAATAATTCTTCAACCTACGATATGTTCTTAACATCTGGAGAAGCGAAAGGCGAAAATCTCCTGGACCCCGGCCCCGAACTTCGCAACTGGCCCCTGCCTTCAGCTTGCAACATCTGCTGCTCCAGCTGCAGCCGCAGTCCCAGCAACCCTCAAGACTTTGTCGAATCGTACGCCTCTTACGACCTGGTATGGCAGCTGTGATGATCATTCCAGCGGCTAAGCGGGTTCCCCCTCCACGCAACCAACCGCTTGTAAGGATGATCATACACTACTTTTTTGCGGTAACTTAGTGTACAGTGTAGATGCATGCCCGTTGATCCACAAGATATGGCAAATATGGACTGGATATGACTGGATAAATATGGAAGAAACGTCGTCCCTCTTCCCGTTCTTCGGATCTTTCTCAATAATTAAAACAGCTCACAGAATGTTCGGCTACAAAAGCATAGCCAATGGATAGCAACAAACACTGAGAAACAACTTCTTCCGGAAGGGTGAATCCAGACCATACACTCGCCGCGAAACATGCTGCAACAAATGGTCTGCCACTTTTCTTCCTGGTTTTTCCTAGGGTTTCAAACTGGCTCCTGGCGCAAGGCCTACCACCAATGCAAAAATTGGCACTGATTGGGAGGGCGGAACATGCTTGCCATTGAACAAAAAACTCCCCAGTCCAGCCCTATGATGATGTGCTTTTGAGGAAAAATAGAGGGATTCGTTTGGCACCATGCCATTTATCTATTGGTTGTCGAATGTTCCTTACTGGGGTTACTCACCAAGTTCCACTGTCCAAGGAACGCGACGAGGGCCCATCATTCTTTGCGGGGCTCTCCTCCACCTTGAGTGCTACGAAGCTACCTCCCCCAAAAGAAAGAGTTGATCATTTCCAAAAGTTGATTGTGCAAATTTGCGATTTGTGTGTGTAGATATGATACGTGCATGAAATTATTACCTGCATATATACATATATAATATATGCATGTATGATTATGTATGTATCATTATGTATGTATGGTTATGTATGTATGATTATGTATGTATGTATGTATGTATGCATGCATGCATGTATGTATTTATGTATGTATGTATGTGTATGTATGTATGTGTATGTATGTATGTATGTATGTATGTATGTGTATGTATGTATGTTTATGTATGTATGTGTATGTATGTGTATGTATGTATATGCGTATGTGTATGTATATGTATGCATATGTATGTATATGTATGTATATGTATGTATATGTATGTGTATATATTTATGTATATGTATATATATGTGTGTAAATATATGTGTGTAAATATATGTATGTGTATATGTGTATGTGTAAATATATGTATATGTATATGTATATGTGTAAATATATGCATATGTATATGTGTATACATATATATATGTATGTTTGTATGTATGTATGTTTGTATGTATGTATGTATGTGTGTATGTGTGTATGTATGTATGTATGTGTATGTATGTGTATGTATGTGTATGTATGTGTATGTATGTGTATGTATGTGTATGTATATGTATGTGTATGTATGTGTATGTATGTGTATGTATGTGTATGTATGTGTATGTATGTGTATGCATGTGTATGTATGTGTATGTATGTGTATGTATGTGTATGTATGTGTATGTATGTGTATGTATGTGTATGTATGTGTATGTATGTGTATGTATGTGTATGTATGTATGTGTGTATGTGTGTATATGTATGTATATGTATGTATATGTATGTATAAGTATGCATGTATAAGTATACATGTATGTATGTATGTATGTATGTATGTATGTATGTATGTATGTATGTATGTATGTATGTATGTATGTATGTATGTATGTATGTATGTATGTGTGTGTATGTATGTATGTATGTATGTATGTATGGATGGATGCATGCATGCATGTATGTATGTATGTATGTATGTATATAATTACTAATGAGCTAAATGTATATGTATATATACATGCATATTTGTATATTATAATTCCAGAATGCAATAAAGGTACATGTATAAAATATGGTATGTATAAAATATTGTATGTATAAAAGTGTGTATATATATATTGTATATAATGTAATGTAGTATAAGAATATACATTCAAATCATACAATAATTAATAGAGACGCTGTGACACCAACATTGCTGCAAAGGATCAATCGTACAGTTGCCGCCTCTGTCTATGCCATTCAAGCCGATCTCCTGGAAAAATCCATTGCTGTGGTGTGGTGACTATAGAGTGTCACTCATATGGTGAATCCATTCTTAAATTATATATATAGAATATATTTAAAAAATATGTACGTATTTAAAAATATGAATTTGAACCAAGTAACCATGATCAAATTTCTCCCATGATCCCCTCGCCTCATCCGGCTGTTCGGACAACTCTGTGTGAACCTTTGAAGATCGTCTTGAGCCCTCCGGCGTGCAAATGCCTTAGCAAAAGGCCAAAGGGGTCGGACCCTTCAGGAACACCAGGGCTGCCGTGGTGGGAGACAGCAAAGGCTCACAGGAGCCAAGTCTCTGTAGTGGGTCGTGACACAGGTGGAACATTTCTCCACTTGCTGCCCTACCTCATCTCCAGCAACCTGCACCAATGGTGTTTGTCACGCTGATTTCAAGCACCAAATGCCAGCCACTAGGAAGGCCTTCTGATCACCGTGAGTTTCTAGCCTTTAGATTGAAAAATGATTGAAAATGATTGAAACATGTTGAAACTACCCTGGAGCAAGCACGTTTGGTGCCGTTCGTTTTCGATCGTTTTCAATTCACGGACAGAGGAGGCGGGCACTCGCAACCCCCATTCCTTGCTTCACCCACAGGCCTGCTGCGGCTCTATCAAGGGTCGCCTGAAACCAAGCTCAAGAACAACCCTAGGCCCTTTCCAACTGACGAAGGAATACCCGAGATGAACAAACTTCATATGAATCCATGTCAGGGGCGCCACATTTGCAGGTAACTTCTCACTTTTGTGTTTTGGGGGTCCCCTAATGCATCAAGTCGTTGAACCGCACTTCACCTCAGGCTGGGCAGGGAGCTTGAACGCTTCCGCGCCATGGCCGGCTGTATCCGGCTGTTGTGGGGCCAGCACTTCGATGGTTTGTCTGAATCATGTTGCTGGGGACAAAGCAAGGTGCTTGCAGCAGCTGGGGGTCCTGGAAGTGGGCTGTGGGATGCTGTGGGGACGCTGCTTCCATGGGAGTCATTGGGGCGTCCGATCTGCACTGGTTCTGCCCATGTGTCTTCAACCAAGCAAGCTGTTCCGCAGGGATTCGCAAGAATCGAGCCAGTTATATACATAAGCAAGAAATTCCAATGAAGCTTACTTTGCGTAGATCTGTGCTGTCTAGCACTTTGGCAAATGTGATTTTGCATTATCAATGACTTGATATGACTCGCATAGCCCAGCCTCTATCCGATGACTCTATCTGAAGCTCAGGGGTTGGGGCATGTTGGGGCCATTCAGCCAGTCCCAAATTGCTCGTTACACCGTGTTTCTTGCACCTAGCATACTTATCTAGCCTAGCTCTGCTGTAAATTCCTGACCTCTGGCAACTTCCAAAGATCAAGCTTGGAATCTCCCAGGCACAGGCTTCCCCCATTGCCCCCCTTTTTCACTTGGGCAGAATCACTCCGGCCCAGGCAAAGGGTCGTCGCAGCATTGGACCCTCCGGGTCCGCTTCCGGGAAGGGATCGTGAAGCCTCAGAAAACACTGACATCTGTGGGTTAAGATTTAAGACCCACAAGCCCACAAAACACCTTCTTCTTTCTAGCGCCATGCCAATTAGATCCAGTTTTGCGAATCTCGGGTGACATCTGTTCAAACCTGAAAGCAGCCACTTGCCAGAGAAGGATTTGACTCCAACTTCTTCAAGCCAGAGTTAAGCGACATCTCCTTGCAGCTGTGCAGCAACTCAAACCTTGGCTCACGTTTTGATTTTTCGGCCAGGGCGACAAGCCATGAATTCAGAATGCTGGAGACTTGCAGGTACCAATAGGTTGGAGGAAAATGGAGGAAACAAATTGACAAGTCTAGACCATCCCCTGGACTCCCTGGACAACTCTCTTTTTGAACTGGACAGGCAAAGACAGGAACGGTATGGCTACGGACTCAGCCCCGGAACGGATTGCTCCTTGGGAACTGTTGAGCCCTCACCCGAGCCGCAGCAGTCGCGGCCCACGTGCAGACACCGAATTGTGCATGAAACCCGCAGTGACAATATCCAGAGAAATGGCTTGTCATCTCTGACCACAATTAGTCCGCTCTTGCAAACTAGTCTTAACATGTCTTAACCGTCAAAAGCACAACTCATCCATGGGTCAAAGCACTCAAAAATGTGGAAAATCTGCACTTAGCTTTGCTAAGGCTAAGGCTAAGGGGATTTGCAACGGGCTTCAGGCCATTGAGCACCACAGGGTGCAAAGCACTTGTGCCCAAGAATTTGGCCACAAAGTGACCAAGCCACACTAAACAGGTACAAAATTTCACTTGGCCACTTTCATGTTCTGAATCTCGGTCTTCAGCTGCTCAATCTCTGCCTTCTGGCTGTCAATCTGGCGCTCATCCTGTCGTTGCTGGTTTTCCAACAGCCTGTCAGTGCTGCTGGGGCCACTGTGGTTGCCGCCACTGATGGCGTTGTTGATGGCACCTCCGATGACGGTACCCACAACCACATCTCCAAGGGTAGGAGCAGGAGCCACAACAACAGGAGCCACACCCATGCCCATGCCCATGCCCATAGGAGGCGCAGCAACAACTGGGGGTGGAGGAGCGATCACAGTCGTCTGGTTGATCACCGTGGTCTTGTTGGTGCTGCTTGCCACCGGCGCTTTTGGCGCCGCGCGTGATGGTGGCTTGCTGCGGGCAGCAGCTGCCGTTCCACCAATGCGGCCGCCAGATTTTGCCGCCTGGGCTTCCACAGGCATCAACACCAAGGCCAAAGCAGCCACGATGGAAAGCATGGCGCCACCCACCCTGAGAGGGCTCTGGCTTTCGTGCGCATCAGGCGCATCTGGTGCAGAGGCACGGAGTGACACACGGTTTTGGGTCACCTTTGGCTCTGAGCGAATAGCGGGGCCCACAAAGGTCATGGTGGCACCAGCAGCAGCTGCAACCAAAGCAAGGGAGACCATGCGAGCCATGCTTCAAAACTTACTGTAATTAAACTCCAAAGTCTGCGCAAGTCTCTAGGAACCAAGTGCTGAAACAGCTGCAAGGGGACTCATCGTGGCGCTTCACAAGCATGACTTGCTTTTCGACAAGGACTGCTGTTTGCAGAGTCGACTTGAGACAAACGTTGGAAGTCACTGACTGCGAATATGGAAATGGAAAGCAACTGACTGAAGAGGCTGGTCAAAACATGGCCCGCAAAATCTGCTGGGATTGCATGGCTCACTGGCGCCGAGATGCTCGCCGTCAGCTGTCACCCGCGCCACCACCACGTGTCCATGGTCACCACGCGGGGAGACTCCGCGCAAAATGCAAAGTTTTCCGACACCTGTCGCCCACCAACAAGCAGTGAAAGGTCCCAAGTGCTGATTATGTCATATACACATATACTGTATACTATATCTAGTCTCTATATAGAGAGAGAGAGAGATAGCACTACATGCAAATACATGTATCCTTGGACCAAAAGCCCTTGTTTGGCACTACCCTCCTCACAATTCCCAGCGTGTGGAAAGCAGTCACCTTGGAAGAAAGTGTCGTGCGGAATATTGCGTGTAAAATGTGAGAGATGGTAGAGGCCTGCATTAATACCTTGAATAGACTTATCAATTTTGGTGGTAGGTAGTTTGTGGCCAATGGACTTGTAGAATGAGACAACAAGAACTGTTCTGAGAAGTACCAAACGGATCCAAACACTGCAAAGATTCTGGTTGAATTAGAGTCCATTATCGAGCTGATACAAGACGATATTGATGTAGCTCCCCTAATCAAAAATTGTCATTTCCACAATAGTAAGTATATTGTAATATATATATATATCATAGATTATTAGATTATAATAGTATATTATACAGTAGTAATCGCAACAGATTATGAAATTATAATAGCATCTCAAAGTTTAAAAAATAACATAATATCATGGTAAAAAAAAGCAATAACATATTATATAATGTAATGTAACATAATATAATATAATATAACATAATATAATATAATGTAATATAATATCGTGTAATATAATATAATGTAATGTAGCATAATATAATATAATATAATATAATGTAATGTAATATAATATCGTGTAAAATAATATAATATAATATTAAACTATATTATATTATATTATACAATATAATATCGTATTATATAATGTAATATAATATATAATATATAATGTATATAATATATAATAGGTAATATATAATATGTAATATAATATATAATATATAATGTATATAATATATAATAGGTAATATATAATATGTAATATAATATATAATATATAATGTATATAATATATAATAGGTAATATGTAATATATAATATGTAATATATAATATGTAATTTATAATATAACATTATATATATATAATTATATATATATATTACTATGTCATGATATACTAACCAACCTTGGTTTTTTACCCCTTCCTTAATCAACGAATGGCATGCTCGCTGGCGCCATGGTGCATTGTTCCATCTCTTTGTCAGGAAGCCTTCCATCATCCTGAGGCACCAGCAGAAACTCCGGCAGTGGCCAATAAGCCAATTTGCCAACAGAAAAAACATAGGAAACCACAGAAAAACATACAAACAAATCATAGAAAAGCGATATTTTAATGTGGGATAATGAATCTTGAAAGCCATCTACTGACCAGTTAGTTATACCGCGCCCATTTAGAGGATCTAGAGCAAATATTGCCAATAACGAACTCAACAAAACTTCCGTGGACCACATTGCCATGTCTGAATACACCTTGAGCCACACAATCATCAACTAATAAGTAGTATCAAAACCTGTGTCATTATGTTCACCGTGAGTTCACCCAATTAATATGTTCATATATTTTTCAGGTAAAACGTGTAAGAAAGAATGGCAAAACATCTTGGAAAGCTGACCCACGCTGCCACGTCCACCAGCTCAATCGTCGTGGCTCTTGCAGCTAAGGCTAAGGAGCTTCCAGCGGGATTTTTCGTAGCAGCTGCTCGCGCTTCGCCAGCCAAGTGTTGCAAGCCTGTTCCTGAGATCAAGCAATGAGGTCCTTACGTGGGTGCCTGCAAGTATCAACCCGGAATTGGCCATTGCATGGCTATGTTGAACTACGTTCATGCATTTGGCTAATCAAATAATGCCCATTTTTTTGCCGGACAAGTGCCTCCCGGCTGGAAGAAAATTAGTGGACTAGCCAGGACCCAATTGCCGAGAATCATAGCCTGCGGCGTCCTCAATGAAATTAGGAACCTCCTCCAATGGCATCCGCACCTCATGCGCCATGCCCCACTGAAATCCTATGAAGTTACCAGTCTCATCCAGTCAGATGTTCACTTTCAGGCCAATGAGAGTTTCTAGGATTGGATTTGAGGGGATAATGATGGATAGTGGGTGATAGTCTTGGACTGGTTCAGTATCTTTTGGTCATTTGAGGCATTTTTAGATCACCTCCCACTATCTCCCACTTGACCAGCTGATTTTCTGAGGAACTATGGATGCTACAGCAGCCTGCAGCGCATTTCCAGCACCTGCTGTGAAGATTGTTTGCTTCACCTGATGGCAGTACGGGGGACAGAAACGGGGTCCACTCTGTTCATACAGGATTCATATGTGCAGGTGCGTGCGTATATATGATACTGAAAATATGATATCCGTCCGTCTCTCTATCTGTACATTTGTTATATCTGTATGTTATCTGCATATGCGTTGACATATATATTTATATCCACATATAATTATACGATATATATATAATATATATACATATATAATATATATACCCTGGAAGTCGAAGACGGTTGTTTTAACTGTCTTTACGGAAAGACTGTTTTTGGTAAGGAAAGACAGTAGAGGGATATATATTGCCTATGTTACATGCGTCCACGCAGGGGCTCAACATCTGCTGGTATGACATGAAGAGCATTCACGAGATTTTTTTCATACCTTGGTGAATTTGATCAGACATCATCACTATTTTGAGCTAAGATATTATAGATCATTATTCACATGTTCAGAATGTTTGAAAGAATTCCTGAGCCATTTGGCCCATGTATCACAACACCTTGCATGCAATTCCTACATCCTCGGCCCTGTGATGTGCTGAAGTGGCATCTTGATCTATTGGATGTATATGATATCTTGGTGCTCACTGTGCCGTTGGCTGCATTATGGCCAAGTTTCAGCATGCAAGGTCATGAAAGTTATGATACCAATCGTGGTATATTGGTTTGGCCAGGTATGCCTTGATGACTTTAGGTGTGTTGCAGCGAACCATGAGACAAAAGAAGGCACGGCTTAGAAGTGCCAATCTCAGTTTTTTTTGGAAGATTGACCTTACTTTGGTCATTGGGATCTTGCTGTGATTTGGTCACAGAGTAATTTGAAACATATAATTCTGAACTGTGCAGATCAATGTGATGTGCAAAAACTGTACATCTAATTGCCAATTAGTACTCCGCTCCAGCAGTATCTGAAAATATAAACCTAGATCTCAAAGGCTTGTAACTGCATGCAACAATTGGTGCATTCAATCATTTATCTTATGTGCTGGGGCTTTTGGACTAGCTGGATTAGCCGATGAACATGTTGCTGATCGAAAAAAAAGGTCACCCTTGTACATTCAGATGTTGAAGTCGTGGAACTTTTCTTCACTTAATAGTTTCAAAAACAATGTTGTGATTTTCGGGGTCACCATGTGTATGGTGCTTGTTGCACATATTAACCACTTAAACGAAAAAACACTGACCGTGAATGAAACGTGAATGAGCGTGAATAAACCGTGAACGACGGTTTTTGGGCGTGAAAGACGGTTTTTGGGCGTGAAAGACGGTACCCCCAAAACAGCATCAAAAATGATAAAAAACACAGATTTGTGTGAAATCACCACATGAGTTGTGATCAATATGTCTTGGGCGGCCCCACTCGGATTTGGAGAAATCTTTAAACCCAGTTGTGGATGGCATGTTCCTAATAGCAGTAATTTTGACACTGACTCACATTCGGTATTTAGATTTGATCATAGTCAACTTTGGAAGGGCATTTCTGTTCAAGAACCTCGAAAAAGCTTGGCAGGACGGGAAGTGACTCAGGTGGGTCGCCCCCCATGGTGTTAGGTAGTGGTGGTGTGAGTGATGTGATGGAAAGAGCAGCCAAACGGGCTGCACGGGCTGCTGCCATGGATGCAGCAGGGATGGAGCCGCATGATGGTGATCCCCTTCCTTACTGGAAAGTAAACTTGCAATTCAACATGAACTCAGGTGTTTCTGCGAGGGCACCTGCAAAAAAGAGATGCCGTACCAAGCTCAGGCCTGGGGGCCTGATTTGGAGTGAAAAGGGAAGTGAGAAGGGAAGTGAAACGCTGTTGTAGAGTTTCAGGGCTGCGCTGTATTTCCAAAAGTTCATTGGTTGGGTAGCTTCTGGCAGGCTCCGTTCCATGAAGCAATGCTTATCTAGAAGGAGGACTGAATGAGGGTTTTGACAGTCTTAATGCTCTTGATGTGCGCTGGAACTGTCATGGTTGATGCTATTTACTGCTATTTGTTCTTTTTTCCAGGGTTCAATTTGCATCCAACGCCTGCATCCAGGACGAAAGGTGCTGCTAGCAGATGATGGGGTACCATGCAGTGCTCAATGCGCTGACATGCCAACTTGGGGGAAAATGTGTGCCTGCAATGTGTTTGGCCACCAGATCTGAGGTCTCCCGAAAGACTGTTAGGCATATAGGAGAAACCGTCTTTTCTACAAAGACTATTGTTTTAACCGTCTTTTGAAGGTTAGGGTATATATATATATATGTATTTACATGTATTTACGTACTTATGTGCGTGTGCGCCTGCATTCATATGCGTGTATCGGGTCTTAGTGTGCTTTCGCGTGTACGCGCACCATCTTCTGAGGCCTCGTCATACTCCACCCCGCCAGCTGCCATGAGCTTCCGTTCAAGGTGCTGATGGGATGAGACTCATAGCCTTGTCAATCTTGTCACAGGGGTATGGGTCACAACTTCTGGAACCCAGTTTGACTAGGAATCATCGTTTCACCGTGAGCGAAGATTTCCTCGTATTTCATGACAAGCACCCATCAAAATGACCGTGCACACAAGCGTCATGGGGGTTATTGCTCAAAAATGAAGCTAGCTGTCCTTTAGTAACTTTAGTAGGCATCATGAAATTATAAACTGGTGAAAGAAGCCTACCAACTATTCTGGTTGGTGCTTTCGATTCAATCCACCTGAAAAATGTCACTCAGTTTTCAGTCAGTTTGGATGATCATCCCAAACACAGTATGTTTGAAAGCAAAAAGTGATTGAAACCACCAGCCTACTAGCACAGTGATCCCTAACAAAGAGATAGACCATTTAAAAGCGAATCGCCGCTGAAAATGTCTCAATGGCAGCGAACGTGAAGCTTGTCCAGTCTGGGACCCGTATCATGAGTAAAAGAAGGCAAGCATGGTGTCACCCACTGCATCTCACTGTTGTATGATGTTTTTGGTTTCTACGTTGGTTGGGCAGTTTGAGTGCTGGCATTGTGGCTCCCAGCCCTTGGACCCCTTCCTTGGTTGTGCAGGACCCTTCAACGCAAAGCAGTGTCGTTCACCTTTTTCACATCTGACGTCCACGGAGCCAACTTCACCACCAATCACCACATGAGCATTTCCCTGCGCTAAACTCGTGCATTCGCACCTGGTCCAGGATACGTAAGGTGCGGCCATAGGCATGGGATGCAATCTTGAAAGCGTTATGACAATCCACACAGCAACGAATCGTCTTGCGAACAGTGATGGAGGAGCCTGGCGGAAAGTGCTGCAGAGCCCAAGCCAGGGCTTTTTTCTCTGTGTGATATTGGAGTCGGTCTTCTCTCTCGTCGTCCGGGATCTCAGGGTCATATTGCCAGAGTTCAGGGCTATAGCCTGCTTTTTTCAGCGAGGTCATCATGCTCTTCACAGGCGCAGCAGAGGCCTCATCATATCCAGGTTGAAAGGGTAAGCGCTCGCCTGTTGACGGATCATCCACGGTGCTGGTGGGGATGTGGGTCACAACCCCATCCAACTTCTGCCATTTGTCAACCTTGGCAGCTCCAGCATCATCTCCAGCCAAAGCACAAGCTTGTCTGGCCAAGGTGTAGCAGGCTGACTTCACGGAGCCCTGCTGCCGTGCTTTCTTTAAGATCCTCAAGGCGCACCTGTTGTCCAGCACAGCCCGGCACCCGGAGAGGATGCTACAGTAGGCTTCAATCGGCAAAGCTTGCTGCTGGTCGGCCTCATAGAAATATTCGACAGCTTTGGGTAGTAAACCAGCCTTGCTGTAAACTGCGATGATGGCACAATGCGTGTGCTCATTAGGCTCCACCTGGTCCTGTTTCATCTGCTGAATGATGGTCTCGGCACCAAGCACATCTCCAGCTCTGGCACACTGCGAGATAGCGGCTGTGTAAACATACACGTCCAGTTTGACCTTGTAGACATGACGCACACTTTCAACCAGCAGCACCACAGCGCCTGTGTCATTGGCAAATCCGAGTGCAGTCACCAGCTGAACCAGGAACTGGCAATCCAAAGCCAGGTTTTTGTCCCTGGCCAGTTTCAGGACCTCCCAGGTTTTGCCTGTTGGGGCACCAGCACGTCGATAGCAACCAACCATACTGGTCAACAATTCCAGGTTGGGGGTGATATCCTGCCAGTCCAGCTCACAAAGCAATTCATCAACCACCTTTGCATCGGAGCATCCTTGTAGCATGGTGCTCATCAGCTGTTGATCTGCCACCACTGCACTACGCTGCATGTTATTCCACAGTGCCCACAGCATTGTTTGAGGGCCACCACCACGGACGACGGCATCAAATAGCGCAGTGTAGGTGTACCTATTGGGCTGGAGGTGCTCAGGCAACTTGCTAAACAAGTCAAGGGCCTTCGGCCACCGCCCCACGTGTCCTGCAGCCTTGAAAATGTGGTTGTAAGTTGACAGCGGCGGCTTGCAACCGGCTGGAAATCGCAGCAGCGCGGAACAGGCCACCTCAAAAGATGCAGCTGTTTGCTGGTCGCACGCCATGTTGATAGCCTGCACCAGGGTCTGGCTGGTTACTTCACCTCTGCTGTTGGCAAGGGCATGCGCCACTGCATCCCAACCAGATGATAGTGCTTTCCGCAGAGGACAAGTCGCGCCTTGACGCTTCACGGCCCCAGTTAAAAACGCGGACAAGTTGCTGACTGCAGCCGGTCTCATGCCACTGACAATCTCCAAACTATTCACCTGTGGTAGACCTGCCAAGGCTCCAATGGCACTGGAGTCCAAATCTTTCAGGGTCCATCCAGATCCTTCGAGTTTGGCATTCAAAGCTTCCAGCAACTTTGGCTGCAACTTGGCACCGAACGTGTCCCCCACACCTTTGATGACTGAAGAACAATAGCTGTTGATGTTCCCCACCTTCTGCGGATTCTTGAACACCTTCTGCAGGCGTTCGAAGCAAACTTCTCTGGCTCCCAGCGAGAGGCCAGCAAAATCCAACGCAACTTTGCTGTCAACTCCCCATTCCGGTGGCAATTCTGAGGGCACCTGTGCCCGTTTTGCCCGTTTCTTGGGCGGCTCAGCAGCTTCGCCAGCTTCCCCCAAAGCCTCGAGGCAGGCCGAGTGAAGATCCAGCAGAGTCTCATCGGTCGGACGCAGATCTTCATCCAAGGCACCTGGCCGTGCCCAGCCGAAGGCACAGAGCTCTGTGCATGGCTCCAGCTCGCCACGGGGCAACAAACATGCAGAAAGTGGTGGAGAGGACACCTCCTCCTGTGTGGAAACATACAAGTTGATGCTGATGCGGGGCAAACATGTGGAGTATTGCTCCGGGATACCATGCGGCACACCTGCATCGATTTTCACAGCCCCACCCTCTTGCAGCATGAGGGTGCTGTCCCCTATCAACATTGGTCTGTTGGCTCCCAGAACCAGCGTCAACTGCCCAAATTTGTGGCTGTGCACTGGGCAGCTTGCATGCTGGTCGTCAAGACGGCTCAACACACATCCCAATGGAATCAGGACCTCACCTGCGGCCTTGCTTCCGCGAATCAAAATCTTCTTTAACAGCTGTTCAAGCCAGTCTGGGTGCTGCCCCGACCCAGATCTGTTGTCCTTCGAACGCGCCTTAGGCCCAAGGGATGGTGCGATGCTCCAGATTTGGCGCCCGTTTTTGGAAGGCACCCAGAGGCCCCTTTCATCCAGAAGTTTCACGGCATCATCGGGCACTTTTACTTTGAAAGTGGCTGACGACATGCGCTGCGGGATGCTGACATGTAGGACAAGGCTATGGAAGATTCATTGCAGAATACTGTCCATGAGTCACCGTGACATCGCTATGTTGGCATTTGGATGGGCTGCAGCGCACAGTGGAATCTATTAAGAACATCTGCCTCCAATCATTTGAGAGGAAATCAGGGCTGCTTAGAAATACCCGTTGTGGATTCTCAAGGTATACTTATATATACTTCAGGGGTTTGACTTCACCACATGACTGGTTTCTTTCTTCTTTCTGCTTCACGAGCCAGAATAAGCAGAGAACATGTTTGCCATCGTGGTTCCAACGTGCTTACCCACGCTCTACAATTTGGCACGTGTTCTTGGTGGATTTTGGATGGCAGTGCGATATTTCTACCCTTTTATGCCCATACCGGCAAAGCACAAGGACCGTGCAAGGCAGGGTAGCAGCCAGTAATAAGCTGCAGTCCTTTTGAAACGGTGGGCCCAAAAAAAAACATGTTGCCATGCGAAACCAAGCAAATGGGGCTGCAGCGGATCCCCTAAATTCTGAACAGGAGTGCGATTCCATAATACCCTTGAACCCAGTTGCCTCAAATGTACTTGAGCAGGACTGAATCAGCCCATAAACTAAGATTGTGGCTTCAAGCTTTGGTGGCGTCCCATATCTGAGTGTAGGTTGGAGGGAGCAGCAGCGGGCTTTAACGAGGGCATTCTGGTTGGCGCTTGCGACCCATCCCTAAAATTGTTGTTTGCGTGAAATATCTGAAATATGTGAAACCAACAGCCACCTTTTTCCCTACAGCTGCCCTACTCAAAATGGTACACAGAAACGCGATAGCATTTCCCAAACCAGCTTGCAACTTACAGTTTCCCATTGGGAGAACTGAAGTTGGCCGGACAACACACACAGTTTGGAGCATTTTCGTCACCCAGCACTTTCGTCCTGAAAAACAACATAAAACAACCGGGTCTTGGAAAACATTCAGTGATTGCTCCAAGTGTGCGGGGATTGAAAATATGCTTTGTGGCACCTCTGCACAACTCCTTCTTGGCGAGGCATGAGCCCTAAGGACCCAGTGGAGTCCCTACACCCAAAAACTCTCCCTTTTTATGAACTGCGTGTGTGTGTTTGTGTGTACATACCAGTACCCGTACCCGATCGTAACCCCACGCTGTTTGACCCATTCCTATTCCTGTGAGAAGTGCCAAGAAGAGCGCCTATCCACCAGTGAACCCTCGTCCCACTGCGGCAAATGAAGACTGGACTCGCTCTGAACCTGCCGAATGCCTGGCAAAACTGGACGATCCTCAGCCGGGAGCATCGCGTGTCAAGGCTTGACCCCGGCTTGTCAGTCTCAACTTTGTTGGCTTTCAAGGAAAACTTACAGGACAGTGTGTGTGTGTGCGCGTGTGTTTTTTAAAGCATTTGTAGACCATCAAATCTATATATATATAGCTTTGCAGTTTTTCCCTCCAATTCTGGACAAGTTTCCAATGCACGTCGGGTTTCTGATGGCACACGTGCAGGGAGGCCAGCACATGAGCGGCCTACCTGTGGCCAGCTGTCCCCACAACCCAATAACTTGGATGATTTTGGGGTCCCAAATTCTCTTTCGAAACCCCAGGTGCAACTTAAAATCTTCCAGGTGGGTACGTTTCACAGATTATAATTATATATATATATAATCAGTGAATTAGTGGAAGCCATTAATGAATGATACTGACACATATCACTGAAGTCCTTGCAGCCATTCCAGTGGTGCATCATCAGGCCTGTTGATCACCTGAGTGGGTGAGGTGCTGGGTTGGTAACAGTCAGATTTCTCGCATGTCTGTCAGGGCACTTTTTTTAAAGAAACAAACCATGGAAACATGGGCAACTGTGGGACAGGGACAAGTGCGCAAGTATATTATATAAGGGGGAAGCCAAGTGCCGCAGAAAAATCATGGTTCCCGCAGTCATTTACCACCTATCAAGGAGCTGCTAAGGCGACCCACCAACGAGACTTTGCTTGGGTTATAATATGAAGCCAACTTACAATCACAGGCCCATCATTGTAGGTTTCAAACACCCAGAGTAATTGGAACAGTAATAAACCCCAATTCATTCAAGGTGAGTCAATAAAAAGAGAAAAACGTGTTTCTTGTCAGTATGTTACCACATTAAGTGGCATTGACCCACATTTCTTGGTGCATTCTGGTGCCCAGTAACGAGCCAAGGGCGAAGGAATCAACGAAGGCATCCGCTCGAAGCACCACTGCCGCTGGGCACCGCTCGGCAGCCCGCGCGAGGCAACGTTGAAGATGCGACTGGGAAGCTGCAACTGCCTCTGCATGGAAAATCTTATCTATATAAATGGGGTTTCAATGGGTTTCAATGGGCAAAATGCTACGGAAAATTCTATCTATATGGGGGGGTTCAATGGGAAATCATTTCTAAATATTGAAAAATTAAATTGGCGCTGACAAACCCAATAAAAGTGGGGTGTGTGTCTGTTTATCCGCCGACCCTGGCTGTGCAAGGGGAAACGTGTCAGGGCAGAGAGGTTCAACAAGAAGAGGTTCAACAACAAGAGGTTCAACAACAACAACACCAACAACAACAACAACAACAACAACAACAACAACAACAAACCAACGACGACAACAACAACAACAACAACCCAACAACAACAAACCAACAACCACACACCAACAACAACAAACCAACAACAACAAACCAACAACAACAAACCAACAACAACAAACCAACAACAACAAACAAACAACAACACACCAACAACAACAAACCAACTACAACAAACCAACAACAACAAACCGGCAACAACAAACCAACAACAACAAACCAACATCAACAAACAAACAACAACAAACCAACAACGACAACAACAACAACAAACCAACAACAACAAACCAACAACAACAAACCAACAACAACAACAACAACAACAACAACAACAACAACAACAACAAACCAACGACGACAACAACAACAACAACAACAACAACAACAACAACAACAACAACAAACCAACAACAACAACAACAACAAACCAACAACAACAACAACAACAACAACAACAACAACAACAACAACAACAACAACAACAACAACAACAACAACAACAAACCAACAACAGCAAACACACAACAACAAACCAACAACAACAAACCAACAACGACAAACCAACAACCAACAACCAAATGAATAATTATATTCATGTACGTTCATATGGTACTTGCATATAAGTATTCACTCTGCTTAACCATGTAGATATATATGTTTTTGGTATGTGTGTGTTTTTAATATATCCACAAGGTTTTCCCGTATGGGTATAGATAGTATAGATATTCGTTCTTTACATATACCAACTATATAATCTATATATATATATCTATTATATCAACAGGATTTATTATTTATGGATTTATGGACTATATTTACATATACCAACTATATAATCTATATACAGTATATATATATACATATTTATGGATTTATTTATATCAACAGGATCCCAGCCATTTTCACCATCACATCCACCGCTACTCGGCACATATACGCTGTCGCTGCATCGCCGCTACTCCCTGGCATCGGTGTCGCGCGCAGCGAGGCGCTGGGCAGCGCCCGACCGTGGACAAAGCGCACCTTGGTAGGGATGGGGTGTTTACCATCAAAAAGTAAAGGTGTCCGGAAAATTTTCCCTGAAAAAACGACTCTGGGATATTCATGGATATTCTAGATTGATAGGGAAAAAAACAAAAATGGCTGGGCAACTTTTGCCTGGATGTGCCTGGATTCCTGCTGTGTGTGTGCATGCGTGCTGCATGTATACAATATAATGCTATATATATATATATACACATCCAAATATACGATATACCATGATATACCCGATCTATATAGCATGATATATTTCTACATATACCGGAGTTATCACCCTTTTGTGGGGACCACCCCAAGCAATCCATGGAGGTTTTGGGAACCGGCCTCGCCATTCGGCGGCTGGGCGCCGGTCCTTGGTTTATGGCTTTCCCACTGGTAGGGATAACAGTGTCGAAGTCTCAATGTTTGTTCTGTTTCTTTTGGACCCTCGAAATCTCGAAATCCGAGAATCATGATTGAATACCGGAAATCTGTCGCCAAGCTGCAGTGGTGAGGGTGCTGGTGGAGTCTTTTCCTGGTTCAATTTGGAATGCCTCAGCTTCCGCTTCCAGCCACCCATGGCCAGCAGTCAAACTGCTAAACTGGCACAAACTTCGAGCTATTTCCACCAAGCCATGAAAGCAAGGTACGACTGATGTACAGCTGGAAGCGAGTCGTTCCTGGGATTGCTGCCATGCCATCCTTGGGATAAAGACTGCGCTGCACGTGATGGATGGCACCAATCAATCAACTGCAAAGATATGGAAGCGTCGTTAACTTGGCTTCCCAAGTTCATCAAAAAATACGAGTGGATAGTGGATGGTCGTTTTTCCTCCCAAATAAATCTAAATAATGATTCTAGGCTACCACTTTAAGAAACCCTTATGAAAATACCCGGGACAAAAACCAAGCTATCCTGGCAAACATCCAACAATGAATGTAACATAATAGTCTATGCTGGAATGTCATCACCCTGATTTTGGTGCCACCTATGTCATAGAATGTCCAGTAATCCAGTGTCGACCCAAACGGCCAATAGCGACTCAGAATACAATGTCAATTCAAAGCCAATTCTGCCATGTCGCTGATAAAGTTCCTGGCCTGCGTATGGCGTGCGACAAAGACTTATCGCACAGCATCTGCCGATCTGCTTTAGTTGTGACGGTCGCAGCCACTGGAGCTCCAAGTGGAATTGTGGGAATTCTGCCCAAAATTGAATTACCAAACTCATATGAGTGCACAACACCAGTCTTTTGTTGGTTCTTGACTTCAAACAATCTACTTTGTGGTTCTTTGCCTTCAGCTCACTGCTTGGCCGCAGCCTCAACCCATCCCGAAAAATGAGTCATGTATAATTTCATGTATAATTAATCATGTTGGATCATAATTTCTAAATATGTGTGTAAAACATTGCAAAACGTCTTTGAACAAAGATCCTTATTTTTTTCCATTTTTATAGCCCCATTGTTGGTAAACTCCCCAACGATAAGCTTCACTCCCTTCGGACTCCGGTCGGTGCCTCCCTTGCGTCACTGTGGTGACGCTGCAGGGCATTGCCATGCAGCCAGTTTCCAATGTCTGCATTGGTGGACGTCCAGTTTGACATGGGTCACGCCCGGTGTGAATCACGGGTGTGAAAAAGCGCTCAGAAGATCTCAGAAGTAAGTTGTTGTGTTTGGCATTGCGCACAGGAAGAGGAAGAAACCAAGAAACTTAGGAGCTGGATTCTTCATAGTGATGAAGTTGCAGGTGATCTCTGAAATCGTTGAACCGGTTGCCTCACATGAGCGCATGTTTGTCTCTTACCTTTCCGCGTTTCTTTGATTTTTGTTCAGTTCCATGGGCCAGAGCCAAAAAAGATCTGGCAAGTTGACGAGCCATCAGCTTTTGTTCCAAAGCTCCTTGGATGCTCACGGGTCGCAACAGTTCCAGGTATGAATTCATGGCAATTCATGGCACTTTTTTCTGCTATCTGAAATAAAACTCCCAGCTGCAATCTCGAGGCCTGAGTCGGCACTCTCCCAAGAGCGCCAGGGTATGCCAGGGTGACAAACCAAGTCGCCATCAAATGGGAGGAAGTAGGGCTCAACAATCAAAAACAACATATGGAAAGATGCGCAAATGCACTTGCACAGGCGTGTTTGCCCATAATTCACACATTCATCACATGATCTTCTACAAATATGCCAGAAATCAAAGTAAATGTAAAGAAATAATAATGTTGTATATAAAGGTACCCGACCCCGTTTCCACCTCCTTTCCATCTAATCGCGACATCATCATCACCACCACCATCATCATCACCATCATCATCATCATCATCATCATTATCATCATCACCCTCCTCGACGACGACGACGACGAAGAACAAGACGAAGAACAAGACGAAGAACAAGACAAAGACGACGGCCATCACCATGACAATGACAACAAGAAAAAAATGCATGTACAAGCGCAAACTCAAATAATGCCACAACAACAGCTACCAATTTGCAAATTGCAGCTGATGTGTGCCAGGTGCAGAAGGCGTCATTGGTTCAAGAGACATCAAGATACCACAAACGCCTTGCTAAAGAGAGGCTAGTTAGGTACTGTATCCAGAATCCGCAACAAGTACAGATGATTGTCGGCCTGCTCGCGAATGTGTGCTACCCTAAATGGTCACCATCATTCCACAGCCTAAATCAGGAGTCACAGCGGTCATCATCACTCGACTGCGTAGATGAGGACTTACATTGCAGAAACCAAACCCAGAGGTGGGGGAAAATATTTAAAAATATGTGCTTGGACTTTGTCAAAAGCGGTTTTGTGTGTGTGATTGCCATGGTTGCTTCTATATATAATATCTATATAATGCATCATATATTCTCACCTCTTCTATAACTATAATGATCGTTACAATGATAAGTATAATTATATACTTATTCTTATCGTACAAATGATACCGTTTTAATGGGGAACTGATGATAAACTGATAAACTGCTGGATTTTAGGGCCGCTAACTGCTTAAGTCCAGCAACGGATTCGTTGCCCCTTGCGGATCCATGGCCACCAGCTGTTGCCATGTGGCAACTGCACGTGACTCGTCACCTCCTGAGGTCAAGGATGGGAAAATGGTGGGGAACAGAACCAGAAAATTAGAAAGAAAATGATGGGAAAATGATACTAGTAGCAATGATGGAACATGATGGATATACATCCCCCTGCACATTTACCAGGTGACATCAGGGCAACCATTTTTAAAGGGACCCAGCAGTTAACCTTACAAACATCCATGTTTAGGGGTTTACAAAATGGGTTGGGCACGAGGCTTGGTGTGATTCCCCAGCAAACACCGGTGAATCCAAAAAAAAACAAAAATTGGCGCCTTACAAAATGGTTTCCAGGCCCCAAACCCAATCATCTTATAAAGCTTGTGTCTTAAAAAATGGTTTGTTTGGAAATATGTCTTACTTGTAGTGTCCAACTTCCCCAGGAAACCCCGCAATCTTTTTTCCCAGTCCCCGAGGCTTCGGCAGCACCCATCTTCACGACGCTTCCTTCCTTCCTTCCTAAAAAAATTAGAGAAGAAACCCTCGTTCCTGGGCATGGCCAAGATTTCAATACCCTCCTTTGCACTGCCTGAAATGAACCCAAAATAGCGTTATGAAATGATTGGTCCCGGCGTCATTTTGTAAAGAATTTTGGCTCTTACAAAATGATTCGCCCAACAAATAACGTTAGAAAAATGCCCCCGGAATGGAACATGGGTCAAGCCTTTTCATAGCGGAAATGCACACAGGGATGGATATACGATATGTATATATATATATATATATGTGTGTGTGTATGTGATATGATATGATGGATATATAAATCAGCAGTTAAGAAAAATTACGATTTGCATCACTTTGCCTAGGTCAACCTGCCTGCCGACATCAGTGCAACGGCATTTCGCCAGTAGAGCACATTGCCAGGTTCCAGACGAACTGCCTCGTGGCAAACTCATTTGGCTTGGAGGACCTTTGGTCAAATCCTGCTTGATCAGCACATCTGGTTTCAAAGTTATGTTTATAATACGTGTATATATCGTGTACATATATTAAATATATTAATATATTAATATATTGTATATATTATAATATTGTATATACATGTGTGTGTGTGCACATTTCTGCGCACACATCACCATATTTTCACATTTGCATCTACTTCCGGGACGACTCCCCGGCCTGATCCAAGGCATTGATCGCATGCTGGTAGTAGTCTCTGGGCAACACACCGGTAATGGCGCCCAAGCCCGCAGCACAGGCCATGTTGTTCATAGCCTAAGCTGCAGCATTATGGAAACCGTTTATACATGTTTATATATAATATAATTATATATATATATGTTTATATGGAACCACCAGAAAAAGGGCTGGAAAGGTTGGGGGCTGCAACTAAAAGGTGTGACAGGGACATGATTGGACATGACAACTTGCTGGATCTTGCTGGCGTTGGACAAGAGACCTTGGTGAACTGTGGGTTGATGGCGAGGGCCTTCTGAAAGTGGAGAACCGAGGCTTCCCTCGGACAGCTGAGAATCAACCCTGCACCTTGCAGCTTTGGACTTCATTCGTCAGTTGTCACCTGCACACTGCACAACACCATCATGCCGTATGAAATATGAAATGAAATGCAGCTTTGCTACGGCTTTTGGACAAACCACAATGAAAGCGCGTAGTCGTGCCAAATCTCTTCCTCCTGAAGCGTTTGGGAAAATGGCGTCCCCTCAAATCAGCCAGCCATCCAGAAGATGGCGGCAACTAGGCCGCTGTCCCCCACCTGAATGGTCAGAGGGCTGAAGAAGCCATTCACTGCCTTGCACAAAGCACCGAAGATTGAGATGAATGCCACCAAATCTCGGCGATTTAAAGCCGATGTGACACTTCAAAGTACTTCGAAGTGGGGGCAGCATCTGAAATTTCAGCGTGCCAAAGTACTGACATGGTGACTTTCGACTTTAGCCCCTTTTTCCACGCCGGCCTTCTCCAAATATCTCGCCGCATCCTCATGCTGACCTTTGAAGAAAAGGATCTGCCCCGCATGGTACAGGGGCAAGGCATCATGATCCTCGGGAAAGGCAATCTGTGCCCACTTGCAAATACTGTGATGCTGTGAATGTGTCCAGAAATGCAAAATCATGCTCAGCTAACTGATCTAACTGGTGGTTTGGACTGCTAGAAACCCTTGCAGCGTTTGACTAAGCGGCTGTGGGATCAATATTGATGGAACGCTGGTAGGTCTCCAACGCAAGGTCGTACTTCTTGGCCTGCATTTCCCAGGTACGCAACAGGAAGGTGCTAGTTCAAAGGACAATTGTTCCATACCTCTGAGTCCAGGTGTCCCCAAAGCTTGCTTTTCCATGACTGCCCCGCTATCCTATGAGCGAGAGCGCTCGCCTGCAAGTAGACATTGGCCAAGTTGAACTGCACGCGTGCCTCCGAACACACCACGGAGATAAGTTGGGAACGGCCAAAGTTTAATGATGTTTAATGATGCGTAATGATGCTTATATAATGGATAAGATTGAAATGTCAACTATCGATTTCAAGTGAGCAGTGTTCAAAACCCTGCGTCGTCCCTTGATACTCGTTGGTTGAGAACGGGATTTCCTTCATGGATTGCGTTATTCCCCCAATATATCCCAATATTAGTTTGTATAATCCCTGAACTAATCATCAACCACAGGTTTTGAACACTGCTGTGGATCTTAAGTGATCCTCAGCCCAAGGCTCAGAATTGCGTTGGGTCAGGCCATCGGCAGTGGTGATGCTGGTGGAATTCTTCCACTCCTCGGGAATTGACTCACAAGGTGGTGCACCAGTTTGTTAGGTCACTTTTTTCTTGAGTAGGCTAACTAACTAGGCTTTATGAGGGATGATATATCTTAAAGATTCTTAAATTATCATAAATTCTCCGGTTTCGTCAACCAACTAAGCGCGGGCACCACTTTGAACCTCCCGCAGGTCAGGCAGGTCCGCAAAATCAAGACAAAGATCTGGCACACGCAAAGCACAGCGCCAAATTCCCAAAGAACATGCGATCCAGAGCAAAAAAGCACCACGTCGCCACCACGAAAAAAACAATGAGACGACTGTCAGGAGAAGGCCTGCAGGGATCTGAGGGGCCAGTTTAATCAAGACACTCATCCTGAATCTTTGTGAAGAATGTTGCCGGTACAGCCTTCAGGCTGGATCTAAGCATCGCATTTCCGATTATGAGGTATGATGTATTATGAGTAGGTATCGGCAGTGTGTTCAGCCAATGCCCACTTTCGGTTCTTCGCCTGCTGATGGGATGTACAGCAAGCGTTCACCAATCATAGTGCCCACTGGAAACAGAACATTCGACCTAGGCGGGATGGCATGGCACCAGTTACCACCAGTTACCATGGCTGCCACGGCAATTCAGCGAGGTGCGACCAGAGCACATCGGCACGAAGCTCAACAGCAGAATGGCCATGCCGATGATCGGCGCTTCTGATGCAGCTTTTCTCGGATTCAACACCTGGAACAGGATGCACCAGGTTTTCGGGCTCCAACTTTGGAGAAGGACCTGTGACTGTGAGCTAAAAAGGAAGCTACAAATCTAGTTAAAGACAACTCGAGCTTGATCTTACCTGTCAAATCCAGTGAAGTCCCCATCACTGTTGGGTAAAATCCAACTTTCGCTTCCGCATGGGTCCCCATGGTCCAGCCAAGGGCGAGCCACTGAAAGCGACAGCACCAGCAGGATGCAAAAGCCCAGGTAGGAGGCAAGCGGCAGCATCAGTCGGCAGTCAGCCGCGTCCAGTACCAACGGTATGGCATCATAAGAGTAGTCATAACCTGCTGAAGAAATCTGAGCACCTACCACCGAAAGATACGGGTTCAAACAATGGAATATGGACAACTTCAGAATATTAAGTTTATGAGCAGGAAAAATCAGCACACTCAAAAACCACTCGTCACAGATCTTGACAGTGCAACGAATTGTGCAACGAGGGGCTGAGAAAGTTTGGGAAGATCAACAACTTCATGTAGATCCCATGAAGCAAAGCATAGGTCTTCAAACGAACCCACCGGTCATCATGGACAGCCTGGGCGGGTAAAACAGCTTCGAACCCAGAATGAGCATTAACCATCTCATCATGAATTGGCAGTAATTAAGTACAATGGATGTCCATCACCTAATATGGGTTCATAAGTAGTCATATTTGCAGTATAGCGCCAATTATGAGACATGTACCATTCTCGGCACCCAGGTGCCAGCAAATCTCAAAGCCCCACATGAAGAAGTTGTGTACACCACCAGGTCTTTACAAATCTCCACCTTGTGGAATTTCATGGAACACTTTTGCAAAAGAGGACCGAGATCATGCTGCACTTTGCGTTAGCTGTCAAACGTTCAGACCCTGATGCCTACACCTTGGGGTCTCCAAGTGCAACCAAGTCTCAATGGGATTGCCTCAGCACAGAGTTGAAGCGTAAATCAGCCTGGATTCCTACTTGAAGCAACCATGGTTTCGTGGAAAACCATTAGTTATTTAACATGCAGGATTCTAGCATCCTCTTTCTCTCTAGCTTCCGTGGACTAGGACACGAGAAAAATGCGGTGTGCGTATGTCGGGTGCGGATATTTTAAGTTCCTATGCTCACTTCTGGCCGCTGCACCAGGTTCCAAAATGTTCCAAATCTTTCATGGCTTTCCAACTGCCAACTCTCCTGCAACTCTGTTGCTGTGCGGGTCCATGTTGTCAATGGCGGTTCCACCGGTGTACCAGACCCGCACAGCGCAGGCCAGGCTTCCCAAAAGCATCAATGCCGTGAAGCGCGCCAGACGCGCGGCGTTTCTCAAGGAACGTCGTTCCAGCAGGCCTGCAAATGGTTATATCAATGGTTGACTATCAATGGTATATATATATATACATAAAATCTTATTTATATATTATATACATATCAATGATTACACTCTGTTATACTATCAATGGTTGTATCACTGTCTATTGATGGGTAAAGGACATTAATGCTGGTGATTACTGTCCGTTTGAGGATGGTGAAGTCCATGCTCAAGCATAGTGGATGGCCAGAACGTAGGTGCCGACCCATATTGTAAGCATAGTATATATATATATAGTTTCCAAAAAAAAAAACGTCAGAAGGATGAAGGATGAAGACTGATGTTTTAGTACATTTCAGTACTAAATAAGTTTCACACCATCTGTGAGCCATCGGGCATGGTATTGGTATGAGACATCGATCACTGAATTGGTGACATGACTAGGGTCATCCAGGTCTCATTGGAAGCAAAGCCTCTCTGTGTAAAAGCTGGCTGTGTGGAAAAGATTCTAAAAGTGTACTGTGTGCACAAGTTTCTGTGTGCAAAAGTGTTTCTGTGTAGAAGCATCTGTGATCATCTGTGTGTAAAAGCGTCTGTGTGTAAAAACTGCTGTGCGTAAAAATTTCTGTGCGTAAAGGCCTCTGTGCCGAAAAGTTTTGGTGTGTAAAAGCTGCTCTGGGTAAAGTTTCTGCGTGTAAAAGTTTCGGTGTCTAAAAGTTTTTTCGTGCAGTCTGTGTCTACAAGCTTCTCTGTGTCAAAGCTTTTCTGTGTAAAAACTTCTTTGTGTAAAAGCTGTTCTGTGCAAAGGCTTCTCTGTGTAAACGGTTCTGTGCGTAAAAGCGCCTCTGTGCCTTTATGCGTGCAAAAACATCTTCGTGCAAAGCATCGATGTGTAAAACTTCTGTGTGTAAAAGCTTCTTTGCGTAAAAGCCTCTGTGTGTAAATGTGTCTGTGTGTGAAAGCTTCGCTGTGCACAAACCTCTCTGTGTAGCAATATCTGCGCATAAAAGCTGCTCTGTGTAAAGGCTTCTGTGCGTAACGTCGTCTGTTTGTAGAAGCGTATCGTTGATGATGGCGGTGATGTGCGCAGGGCCCCACAAGGCGTCATTTTGGATGTGTTTAGCCAATTTTAAGGCATTCGGGACAGTTTTGGGCGCCTCACAGGCCAAAAACCACCGTATTTACGATGTTTTCTGCCCTTGGTAGCGGTAGCAAAAAACAGTGTATTTACAGTTTTTTTTTGGACGGCACCTAGCTGGTATTTACGCAGTTTTCAGCATGTGACAAGAAGTATTTGTTCCATGCAAAGTCACAAAAACCCTGTAAATTACAGTGTTTGGGGACTGCTTTTAGAGTTCGTGGGGGGGGAGTCCTAAAATATGCAGCAATCTCCTGAATAATCAGGCAACGGGGCATTTTTTTCACCACCCATCATGGGAGCCCCTTGGCCAATTCAATGATTTGCCTGGAAGAAGGGACACCTGGCCTGCAAGAATCTCCCAGCCAGCGAGCAAGCCAAAGAAACAGAAGCCTGGCAGAATGCCATAAGAAATTGCGCTTTGCACTGAGCATGTCAGAATCTTCTGGAAGCTTACCGTTCGCTTTTAGGCCCCTTAGGTGGTTCGGTACGAATGGTCTGGCACCTCAAGTCGACAGTTTCTTTTCCTGCATCGATGGACAGAATATGCAACCTATGCTTTGATTGCTGTCGTTGCCTATTGTTTGTGATTCATTGTGATTCCAGGTCGCCAACAAATATGGATGGTGAATGATGCTGACTAGCCGACCGCGCAGCGGCCTGTTTCTTTACAAAGGCCCGCTGCCACTATCAAAAGCACACATAAAGGCAGTAGAAGCAATCCGTAGCTCTGAGATTTCAACTCCTGAAAAGCCACATGCGGCCGTTTCTGGTCCAAAGCGGTATCAATGCAAAGGTGCAGTCATTTCTGTAAGGCTGCTAGGGCGCCGCAATAAAGCACTAAACTGGCCACAGATTTGAACATCTTATATAAATATAACAGTAGTAGGACATCTCCAGCGATACCCTTGCTGCATCTAGGTCTCAGGGAGTCAACTTCCCTTTTTTTGGTGTCGGCAAGCTGAGTGATACAGGGGATATGAGGGGATACCGAAATGCCGCTGGGGAAAAAAGGTACGCCTCCTTTTTTGATTTTTTTTGGGGTCAATGTTTGGTAGTTGTTGGTTTCCATCCACACTTTTAGCTACTTTCTTTCCTATCCCAAGTTCATTTTTGACCTTACCAAGCCACCTTTCAAATGGTAAACAAACAGCTTGACTCGTCCTTTGCACATGGCGTGTAGAGCAAAGTGGCCACCAGTAAAAGCAGAAGGCAAAGGAGGTCCGCACGACCCACGATGTACAGCACCTCAGCACATCCGCCCCTCCCGGCCTCTCCCGTCTGTCTATGTGGGGTTTCTATGGGTTTCTATGGGTTTCTATGGGTTTCTATGAGTTTCTATGGGTTTCTATGGGTTTCTTGGAACCACTTGTTTCGTAGAAGCAAGGTCCAACAATTGCACCCAACATCAACTAATATCATCTAACATCAGCTAAAATCAGCAAATATCAGCTAACATCATCTACAGGAACACTAGATATCCATATTGTGATCCATAGATGATGTTAGCTGTTAGCTGCTAGATCAGCTAACATCATCATATCATATGGATCATATCCACATCTTAGCACCCCCTATCAGCTGCACATGGCTGAGGCGCACTCTCCGTGTGAATCGGGTGAGCTAAAAACAAGGCGGCCAGGATCAGGGCGAAGTCCGGCGACAGCCCCAGGGCATGACCCAAAAGGCCCAGCAGCATGGAGCAGGCCTCGCTGGACATGGAACGAAGATTTGGAAGAACCGACCTGTTGGCTCATCTTGAATCTAGATGAATGTGTATATATATATATATATATGCGTGTGTGTGTGTGTAAATATACATATAGGTTGACATAATGTACATAAATATAGATCTAGAGATAGAGATGGATACAACTACAGCTATATTTGTATATGTATATACAAGGATAAGCCAGTTCTATTGGGGCTTACACTATCTATTACGATTTATTTCATCTTATGTAATTCTTATGTCTATTTATAGAACCTCCAAACAACATCAAACAACTGAGTCTTGCAGATGATGTGTGCCACTGGCAATGGAGGGTCCATAGACTATCTCGAACGTCTTCAGCAGCGCGGGCAAAAGAAAGACAAGTCATCCATTCCTATCTTGGATTACTATGATTTGATATGAATGTGGGCCAGAAATGGGGCACCAATGCCGTCTTGAAACAAACTCCATTTGGACCGACAGTTGAGTCAAGCTTCCAAATTCAACAGGACATTGACGATGTGGAAGCCAGAGCCTGGCTGTAGCAATAGCACCACTGGTGAAGCAACTGCTGAACCGACTGCTGAACACCCTGAGAGCTGACCTACAACTCACAGCCATTGCGGGTAGTTCTAACTTGTGACTAGCTTACAATCCCAGGTCATCCCAGGTCTTTTTCATGTTCATGTAACGACCCAATTTCAGTTCTCCCACCTTCTGGGCCATTTTTCCCCACCTTCAAAGCTACCCACAGCATGGTTCCAGCGAAAGGTGAGAACTGTCAGCGGCCGGAAGGACTTGTGAGTCCAGTCACCCTGGCGGAGTTCCCTTGGGAACCACGATGAACCACGTGAGCCATTTGGCCCCCCCTTTTTACCCTCTGGTAAACTAACATAACTATGGAAAATCACCATTTTTAATGGGAAAATCCACTATAAATGGTCATTTTCAATAGCTATGTCAGCTATGTTAAATTACCAGAGGTAGCCAGTTGGGTGCTTCCAAACGTGCTCTCTAATAGATCTTCGAAGCATAGCACCCAGCCAGCTCCTCACACACTCCAGTCCAAGTATCCCATCACTGTGTCCTACTTGGTGGATCATCCCAATTGAATGGTTAATAACCCTGGCTTCGCAATCCCCCAAGTGGGGTGATTCATCACATTTTTCACTGAGTTGGGGTTGTCTGCAATTGGGGTACGCCAAAAATCCAAGGCTTTATCATCATATTCTCAAGCCACAACTTGCCGCAACTTGCCACAACTTGTGCAAGTGAAACTTTGAGACGTCCCTTTTATACTGAATGGTTGAGAACGGGAAAATCCACAGTTGATATTGATTATATATAGAATAATGTAACCCCCTTATTTATCATCAACCAACAGGGGTTTAGCACTGTTCAAATGCCATCCTCCCATCCTCCCATCCGCAAAGGCCTCAAACATGTCGAGGCCCCAATAGTCCGTCCGGAAAAGCCGTTGCCAATTCAGCTCCTCGTAGACGTTGGGATTCTTCCTCAATGGTGACCACTGGAACCAGTTGGGAAACGAGTTGGGCACTGGCAGAACTAGGGCCTAACTAGGGAGTTTCACCTGCAAAAATTGGAAAAATTGGGATATTAGTGATATAAGATATAAACACCAACTATACAAATGAATGAAAAGATATAAGAAGGAAATAGTTTTTCTGGTTGGCTAATTGGCATTGTTGCAATCCATGACAACGAATCCTCCAATCAATGGCCATGATGAGAGGTTTCGGCCTGATCACCAGGAATCAAGTCGCAGGACGATTCACGATCCCATTTTGAGGAACGCAATGTTGGTACAAAAATGCACGGCTCTTAGGTCTTAGGAAAGGTCTTTAAAGGACAAAACTGCTCGGTCAAATATCCACAGAAACGAGTTGATGTGACATAGCCAACAACAACGAACAACAAAATCAGCCCGACCGTATTGCAGTCCACATGGTCATGCTCGATCCCACAAAACCGATGCAGCAGCCTGGCCCAAAACATAGAAGCAGAGCATCTTTATCATGGCATCATCCATGAAGAATCCTTCGATAATGTCACTTGCAAGTGACGGATGCAACTGACAGATGCAATGGTGTATCAGATTTCAGGATCGTGCACAGAGCTGGCGCAATGCTCAACAACTCCACCTGTGCTACATCGGCTTCATCATGCAGCTTTTATCTTCGGGGGCTCCGTGTTGAGCGATTCTGGCCAGCAACACAAGAAAGATCAGAAAGTGCTGAATAGTTCCCAGTGTCCACCGCTAAAATCATACCGCAATGCCGGCAGCCATGGAGCAGCTGCCGCGAGGGTCAGCAACACAGCGACAGCCAACTGCAGCCATGATGGCGGTGGGACCTGCAGTGCCAAGATGCCTGTCATTGTAACAAGGTGGTGCCCCATCGTTGGTGAACTTGGGAGCCACATAAGTAGGCTTACTTAACGGATGTGTTTATGGGGGATGTATCGAATTAGCTCACTGGGTGCACATAAACCGACATAACTGGGTGGCACTACCTTGTGTTATACCCTTGTATGTTCAGCCTCAGTCAATTGGTTGTAGTTCGGACGCGTGCGTAGAGTTAACTCTCTCTATATATATACAATTATATACATATATGTATATATATATATATAGGTGCAATGAAAATTTTCACGTACATATCTAATGTACATGAGGAGAGCATCAGAACCATGGCTCAACGCAGGTGTAAAATGCTGTAATGCATATTCTGTCAATCTAGCAAGGTGGGCTACCTCATACATCTATATATATATATACATATATATAAACACACACATATATATATATGAGTGTGTGTGAGAGAGAGATATATTATATATATATATACACACGCACATATGTATGCATACACACATACATGCCAAGCCTAGCACGGATATCATCAGAGTGCCTGTGGCGAAGGTTTCTTTGGCCCATCATTGGAGAGCTTCACAAGCTGCTGAGCTATGCGACGCAAGCCTGTCACGGGCAAATCTGCCTCGCCTTCCTAGTACTGGGATCATTTTAGAACGGGGGCCGTACCCAACACCTCGCGTCACACTAAACTGGAGAGGTTCTGCAAATATCTCTGGTCATTAATTGGATATCATTTATCATTAAATATCATCATTAGGTATCATTGGATATCATCTGATATCATATGTATATATATCATTAGGGCATCATGAATTGATGCGCGAAAATTGAGACTTCGTTGCGACAAAAGCCTGTGACGTCGGACCAACCCCTTGCCGGGCCTTCAAGATCGACTTCTCCAGCTGCCTCGTGCCAGAGCTCCGCTGAGGCCTGCGATCAAAACAGCAGCCATCAAAGATCAAGATCTGCAGAGGTCTTGAGCATTCATCAATTTTGTACAATTTTGTCAGGTGATGTTGAATCTTCTATCATCTTCTATCCCACCCGAAGCATCACCCCAACAGCAATGGATCCCCAGCAATGCCAGCCTTATTGATGGCACCTACATGTGCACCTCGGCATCAAAGCACTGCACAGACGCCACGGGTTTAGCGACGGCTTCTTGAGGTTCTGACACAAGTCCTCCAAAGTACCCACATCGGCATGGTTCATGGAGCAAAACAGCTGCTTGAATGGCTTGGTTTGTTGGGAAAATCCTACAGGAAGCCATGGTTTTTACTGTAAATGTTATTCCCATCATCCAATGCTTGGACTAGGGATGCTGTTCAAAGTTTGAGGCCACCAAATAAATCTCATATCTTCAACATATATATATATATACACACATATATATATATATATGTGTGTGTGTATGTATATATATATACATATGTATACTATATATATGCACATGCGCGTACAGAATCTACATTCAGATTTATGTTCAATTCATGTCTGCGTTAAATCTACATTGATGATGTCTACATACACTCATCTACTCAGGACATGATTGCTGCATGGTGCTGCTCTCCTGGTCTGACTAATAATAAACGCAACAAAGCTGCAGACAAAGATCGGGTTCCAGTTCTGGCAAAATGGAATGGTCGATGCATGTCGATGCCAAGAACCTATGAGCGGAGGGATCGCCTGCTTTTTTTCCATGCCTTTTTTGGCTGTTCTAAGCAGGCACAGGAACCCTCTCCAGGCTCTCGAACTACGCGCAGCCGGGCCGTATGCTTCTGTTGTCACTCCCCGCTGCGATTTCGCAGAGTTCATGACCAAAGTGTCATCTCATCATCCACCAGAAATCGGGCATTTGCTTGGTGATGTGGAGTAAGCTCCAGGTTTACACCTCCAGCTACCATCATCCAAATTTTCGCCCATCGTGTGTAGTGCTGGTCATAGGAGCTGTCCTCTGGTTTGCCTAGCCACTGCAAATGAAATACTAGCAAAACTCCGACTGTCCCAGCGCAGCTCAAAGCTTAATAACAGCTAAGAATGCATACCTGTAGGCGGTAGAAATCAAATGTTCCAAGAAAACAAAGGAACTTGGCAATTCTTGAAGCCAGAGTTGCTCTCATCATTCATGATGGGCCAGTTGTTTTTGACCTCGCTGCCATGGTGCGTCACACGTGACTCTGGTTTCAGAGCAATCTGATTCTCAAACGCCTTGACACTATAGAAAAACAAACAAGGCGCAGAACCAAGCCAGCTACTGTAATGATGTTTGTGAATTTCCGTCACACATGAAGAACCCCCCTTACTATTCATCATGTTTTGTCCTCCCAGTTGTGTTTCATACGTTTTCCCAGCCAATCCAATCCGCGCACATTTTAGAAATTGGTCAAGTGACACATTGACCCAGCGGAACCAGCTGCCGGGCGCGGGCCCAGAGCTTTTGGCTCAGTTCTTGGTTTCCACCGGTCTTGGCAGCTACTGCTGCTTCACACATCAGGAGCCCCACTCCTCACACAAATTTTCTGGAATTTTGGGATGATCTCGGCGACAGATTTTTTAGAGCTCTTAGATATGGAATTCTGAGCGTGCCAAAGTACCTGAGGGGGAAGAAAAAGAACACTACATCTGACCTACTATTGCGGAAATGCCAACCATTAAAATCATAATGACAATCTGTCATTGGGTGTTCATCATATTTCATTTTCATCATCATCATCATCAAGCAGTACCCGGTCTCCTGGTCCCATCATCTCCAAGATGGACTTCTCTTTGCCCTTGGAGTCCCTAGAGCGACGTTGCACCAGCCTGGCGGAGAAGCTGGGATCTTGCAGCACCAGGTCGTGGAAGAGGATCACCTGGCCGATTCATCCAACTAGAAGAACCAGTGGAACGTGCAAGACGCAGGGGAACATTATAATGATATTATGATATAATGATATAATGATATAATGGTAGAATGATATAATGATATAATGATAAAATGGTATAATGATTTAATGATATAATGATATAATGATATAATGTTATAATGATATAATGATATAATGATATAATGATATAATGATTTAATGATATAATGATATAATGATATAATGTTATAATGATATAATGATATAATGATATAATGATTTAATGATATAATGATATAATGATATAATGATATAATGATATAATGATTTAATGATATAATGATATAATGATATAATGATATAATGATATAATGATATAATGATATAATGATATAATGATATAATGATTTAATGATATAATGATATAATGATA